CTACTACTACTACTACTACGACGACGACGACGACGACGACGACGACGACGACGACGACGACGACGACGACGACGACGACTACTACTACTACTGCTACTACCGCTACTGCTACAGCTACGACGATGAGGAGAAGGAGGAGGACGGCGTTTACCGCTCCTACTGATGTTGCTTTCCTAGAGGCTCCAACTCCTAGGTAGGGTCGCACTGGGATGATTTTTATGCTTCGTCGAAAATCCCCCTGTAGGGGGACAGGCCCGACATAGCCCTCGGTCTGGGCCTGGGGCTGCCGAGCGGGCTGTGGCCCGAGGTCAGAGCGCGGATCTGGGGTGCCCCTCGGGCCTCGGGCCCTCCTCGCCCCATCGACGGCCGCGCCCCCCAGGGGCCCAGACGTGCGACGTCCGGCTTCTGCCCCGTGCGGGGTCCCCGGGACCGGCCTGCCATCCCGAGTCATAGCGTTGACGGCCCCGAGGCCCGGCGAGGGCCCCCCGAGGCAAAAAGTGGCCCCAAACCATTGTTGCGGCGAGATCACGTCTGGGAAGAGGGAAGGATGCCAGGCGCGAGTTCGCGGACCCCGAGCTCGGCAGCTGGCTGCGCCAGCACGCCGAGGAGCACCTGTCGAGGCTCCGCCGGGACGGCAGGGAGGGCGCGCCGCACGAGGCGGCCTCCAAGGATCGAGGGAGGGACAGCTACACGGCAAGAGAAGGGAAGAACAGGGGGGGACTCCTCCCTCCTCCTCCCTCCTCCCCCTCTCCTCCTCCCTCCTCCCCCTCCTCCCTCCTCCTTCTCCTCCTCCTCCTCCTCCTCCTCCTCCTCCTACTCCTCCCCCTTCTCCTCCTTCTCCTCCTCCTCCTCCTCCTACTCCTCCCCCTTCTCCTCCTTCTCCTCCTCCTCCTGCTCCTCCTCCTCTTCCTCCTCCTCCTCCTCCACCTCCTTCTCCGCCCCTCTCCTCTCCTCCTCCTCCTTCTCCGCCTCCTCCTCCTCCTCCTCCTCCTCCTCCACCTCCCTCCTCCTCCTCCTCCTCCTCCTCCTCCTCCTCCTCCGTGTCTCCGCTGGTTCTGGCCAACAACGCTTTGGAGCGACACGCTATCCACGGCCCGGCCCCAGAGCCTCAATGTTACGAGCTTTTCGCAGCCTCCCGCCCCTCGGAGCGTGGCGACAGGCCACCCGCTCGCGGCGGGGCATAGCGTGCCGGAGCCGCCGCCGCGACACGCAAAGCAAAAGCTCCCGACCGTAAACAGAACTTTCGGGGATCAGCGCGGATTTTGCGGATCGGCGCTGGACCCCCTCCCCTGGCGTTCGGAGCGCGCCAGGGGCGGCGCCAGAGGCGCCGCCATGGGGGGTACAGCACCGATCCAAGAGATCCGCACGGACCTCCGACGGTTTCTGCTTCTGCCGCTTGTTGTTTTCTTGGAATAGGACGAGGGTGACGCCAGCGAGATTTGCAGCAAGGTGTTGCCGCACCTGCGCCAGGAGTGGCGCGCGGGTCAGCGCGCCCTGCTGCAGCAGATTTCCAAGGAGCTCAGCAGCCTGAAGCACGCTCCCACCCGCATGATTGGCATCTCCTTGCCTCGGTGCCGATCGTAAGGATTCCCTCAAGACCGAGGGCGCATCCCTAAGATTGCCATCGCCTTGGGCTTGCCGATCTGAGGGATACAGTGGGGGCGCGCATCAAGAAACCATATGCTTTTCGTCAGGGTATCCTGGTTTTCTTCGCTCCTCGCCCTGCGCGGTGGCTTCCCGCAGCCGTTGAAGGAGCTGCTGCGTTCAGGGTGCTCCAGGCTTCCCCTCAGGTGCACCTCGCGCACGAGTTCTCAGGGTTGGGTTTCTTGCCAGGGTTTCTTGCGGCCGCGCCCGCACTGTAGGGGCATGTCAGAGGCTGGCCAGGAGTTGCGCACGGAGCGCGAGGCGGCGCGAAAGGCGCTGGAGGCCCAGGTGCTCCACGCGGAGAAGGTCGCCGAGGCCTCGCGCGAATGCTGGGCCGGGGAGCTGCGTGTGGCCGCGCAGGATCAGCATCTGTCCCCATCCCGACTGGGGCATGGTATCTCAGCCCCAGACTGACGTCGGGCCTGTCCCTCTGCAGGAGGAATATCCCCTAGAATAGTAAAACAAATATCTGGGGACGATGTGCCGATTATTTTTGATCATATTTGAATGTTTTTGTTGTTGTTGTTGTTGTTGTTGCTGCTGCCATTTTTTGAGTTTTCGTCCAAAATCCGCCTGTAGGGGGACATGCCCCACCTAACCCCAGCCATGCAACTTCGTGTCTTTTTCGATACGGGGTCCCCGGAAGTAGCGGCCTTTGCCCAGGGACCGGTGTTTCATCCTGAGTCGTTTCTTGACGGTCCCGAGGCCCCATCGAGGGCCCCCCGAGGCCGAACGTGACCAAAAGCTTGCCGTCCTGATTCTTTTGCGACGCGATCACGTTTGGGGCCCCACCAATCCAGCCTCCTGGGTGGGGACCCAGACGCTGCCCGCGCCGCGCGCAAAAAGCACGACGGGCGGATCTTGGCATTTTCGTTCGGCCTCGGGGGGCCCCGCCGGGGCCCCAGCACCGTCACACAGCGGCCCAGGACGACAAGCGGGCCCTGCATGGGGACAGGGTCGGGACGTCCGGGGACCCCGCATGGACCAACGTCAAGACGTCGCACGTCTGGGGATGTGCCACGCGCGAAACCCGCACATCCCATCCCCACCTCTCGGTGGGCAGGTCGGCCCGTGGGGCCACGGCCACGCCAGCGGGGGAGTGGGATCGGTCGAGCGGTCAGTGCATACAAAGAGCTTCGAACCTTAATAACATTATGAAGACGCGGCCTTACTGAGGTCTCCTTCTTCGCATCAGGGAGAATAATTCTGAGCGGTTCGGTTCGATACACCGGCAGGAAAAAACTATCCCTAATGTTCCTCGCCCCCCTAACTCAGGTCCTCTCCCAAAGGGTTAGGGGTCCTTTCTTTTGTCAGTCAAGCGATGCTCACCCAGGAGCTGTGTGTGAAGACCGCTTCTTTCTTCTTTCTATCCATCCATCCTGCTATCCTCTCGGCTCAGGTATTGGACACCCTCCAGGAGTACATCGGCGCCCCCTTCTCCTCGGGATCCCCACCTGTTCTCCTCGTCGTCCTCTACCGACGGACCCCACGGTAGGTTCGACCCTCTGGTCGTTGACCTCCGTACACAGGAGCTGGAGCGGCTGGAGCGGTGCTTCCAGGAGGGTCTGGAGGCCGCCTGCTCCGCGGAGCTGCGCGCGGTGCAGAAGCACACCGCGGACCAGGCCGCCTTCTTCCAGCGGGAGCTCCGGGAGGCGCTGCAGACGCTGCAGGAGCAGCAGGCCAGGGGCACCCCTTCAGATTTAAGCCGGGCATCTCCCTCTACAGGAGGAGTACTCTGAGATAGGAAATCAATCGTCTGGGGACGATGGCATCATTATTGTTGCTGCTGTTTGGGGGTATGTGTTGATTGTTGGTTTTTCACTATTCTTCCAACGTCCGCCTGTAGGAGGACATGCCCGGCCTACCCTCAGAACCAGGGGTGCCAGTGGCAGATTTTGTCACACGGGGCGTCTTCGCCGGGCCTCGGGCCACAGGACCATCACCTGCAGGTCGAGCCAGCTGGAGGGTCGCCGCAGCACGATGGTGTCGGGGGCTTCGATGGATGGGCCTGTTCTGCATCACCATCACCATACGTTGGAGGCGGGAAGGAGGTGAAGGATGAGGGGGAGGATGAGGAGGAGGAGGAGGAGGAGGAGGAGGAGGAGGAGGAGGAGGAGGAGGAGGGGGAGGGGGAGGGGGAGGGGGAGGAGGAGGAGGAGGAGGAGGAGGAGGAGGAGGAGGAGGAGGAGGAGGAAGAAGAGGGGGAGGAGGACCCCCTCCTCCTCCTGCCTGTGGTGGTGGCGGTGGAAAACAAGCCCACCATCGATCGCGATTGTCTGCAAATATGCCGTGTCGCAGCGTCGGCTCAGGTTGCGGCAGGAGGCCTCCCGACGCACTCTCCTTCTCGGCCGCAGGTGGCAGAAGGTCGGCGACACCCGCGGAAGTACCACGAGGCCGCCTCCGCCGGCGGAAGCTGGCGGAAGGCGGGCTGAAGCCGACAGAAGAGCACTCAAGCAGTGGCGACGCGTCCTGGCTCCCCTCTAGCCCTGCCAAGCAATGGTCTAAGAACCTTTTGTGGTTTCCACGAACTGTTCTCAGAACAGTTCTGGCTGGAGCCGTCTTGTTTTGACACATCGGGTTCATGTTCTAAGAACATTGTTTTTGTTATCCGTAAGGGCTTCGCCCCCTGCCGCCGGCCCCCTCTCTCGGAGAATGGGCCATGGAAGAGCTAAGTCATGAGGTCTTGGCGCTGTCGTGAAGCAGTATCGAAACTTCATGCGAAGCCGATTCGCAATCAGCAAAACCAACTGATCACAAGAGGGGTTACCACACCTGGCGATTGGTAAGACGTGTATGGTTTACGGGCTTGGTTACCACACCTTGCGATTAAAGGGCCGAGGGAGTTCTCGCAGTTTGGGTTACCACGCCTTGCGATGGATGTGCGTGAAGGGTGGCACCGAATTTCAGAAATGTGGCAAATCCCATGTGCTTTTGGACCCTGACCCCGCGGATCTGCGTGAGGGGTGGCACCGAATTTCAGAAATGTGGCAAATCCCGAGTGTTTTTGGACCCTGACCCCGCGGATCTGCGTGAGGGGTGGCACCGAATTTCAGAAATGTGGCAAATCCCATGTGTTTTTGGACCCTGACCCCGCGGATCTGCGTGAGGGGTGGCACCGAATTTCAGAAATGTGGCAAATCCCATGTGTTTTTGGACCCTGACCCCGCGGATCTGCGTGAGGGGTGGCACCGAATTTCAGAAATGTGGCAAATCCCATGTGTTTTTGGACCCTGACCCCGCGGATCTGCGTGAGGGGTGGCACCGAATTTCAGAAATGTGGCAAAATGGCGTGTTCCAAATCCCGTGTGTTTTTGGACCCTGACCCCGCGGATCTGCGTGAGGGGTGGCACCGAATTTTAGAAATGTGGCAAATCCATGTGTTTTTGGACCCTGACCCCGCGGATCTGCGTGAGGGGTGGCACCGAATTTTAGAAATGTGGCAAATCCATAGTGTTTTTGGACCCTGACCCCGCGGATCTGCGTGAGGGGTGTCGATTTCGAGCCCCCCCAGCAATTCAGACAACGCGCCCAGGGGGTGCTAAAAAGCCGGTTTGGGCCTCCCCCCCCCCTCGCGTTGTCAATCAACTAATTACAGTAACCAGCAATAAGCAGAATTGTAACACTGGAAACTACAAGCTACAACTGGTACAGGAAACTGCGAATCACGGGCCTACAGCCTGGTGGCCCCACAAGGGGGCCGGCGGATTAGAACATTCTTGGGTTCTCAGCACATTCCGTGGTATGACTATGGACTATGGGAATGCCGGGACGGTCGGTCCCTGCTCAAAGCACATCAAGCCTTATCGGTTCAAGGATTCTTCGGCCGCGCCCTTCCCGAGCTGCGTCGCCATTCCCAGCCCGACGGTGCGCGAGGGCTTCCGAGGGCGCTGTCTGTCCGTGCCGCCACAGTGCCCGTCAACGCCTCGACGACCCAGCACCAGAACCAGAGTGAGGGGAAGAGGAGGAGGAGGAGGAGGAGGAGGAGGAGGACGAGGAGGGGAGAAGAAGGAGTAGGAGGAGGAGGACGAGGAGGGGAGAAGAAGGAGGAGGAGGAGGAGGAGGACGAGGAGGGGAGAAGAAGGAGGAGGAGGAGGAGGACGAGGAGGAGGAGGAGGAGGGGGGAGGAGGAGGAGGAGGAGGAGGAGGAGGAGGAGGAGGAGGAGGAGGAGGAGGAGGAGTACGCAGCTGATGGGCAATGTTACCTGAGTGCACACACATGCCGCACGCGCCGCGCCGCACACATACGCACACGACAAGAATGAACGGGGCTGCCCGCTGTCCACGGCCTCAGGCCGTTACCATCATGACCTGGTGCCTGCCGCACTGCCGGGCTCAAAGGGATGGTCGACGCCACCCCCAGCCAGGGCAGGCCGGTTTCCTGGCAAACGGGAAAAACATTGTGCGTTTACGCCAGGGGCTCATTCATCGAAGAGGTGGTGAATGATGTCTTCGACGGCGCCCTGAAGTGTAGTCGCCCCGTCGGGCTGGTCCCAGAAGTCGTAGCAGCTCGTGCGCTCGTAAACCTCGTCGAGTATCAACGTGAACTCGGATTCAATATCGCTCGACTGCTCCAGCAAACGGACAAGAGGGAGTACGATAGGCTCGGGGATAGTCTAGCGCGTCGCCAGCACCGCGGATAATGCAAGTCGTCCCACACCTGGGTCGACCACCTCCCCCCAGTCGTCCAGCTTGCTGTCGGTTGCCCTCTCCATGCAGCACTCGCTCTCCGTCGACGTGCCCTCCACGACACGCTTGTCTGCACCTACGGCCGTGGGCGCTGTCGCCCTCGCAGCCGTGGCCAATTGCGCTCTTGCTGCTGTGGACAGTCATGCCCTCGGTGACGCAGCCAACGGAGTGAAATTGTTGGTCGAGTTCGCGTTTGGGCACCACTGCTGTGACGATGGTATGGTGCACTCCTCTTCGTCGATTGCTACGTAGCTGTGATGGCAGGGATACGTAAACAGACCGTTTACAATGACCTCTCGGGGCCCTCTACCTTGGGAAGGTGCGCCTCCAGCCTGCCTCCTCGGCGTCCTCCTTCTCCCCCGCGTCAAGTCTCTAGGCGGGCACTCGGTGCGGCTCCGAGGTTGCCCCGAGTTCCGCCGACCGGCCAAAGTTGGGTAAATTACGTTCCGTCGTCTTCTGCGCGACCCTCGCGAAGTTCCTCCCGTGCCCTCGCCCGTCGACGCCAGCGCATTGCAAAGGGAATGTGCGAGTCGCTGCTTTTCGGCGCTTTGCTGGATGGCCGCGCACATCCCAGGAGGGGGCCCTGGGGCGCCTCTCCTGCAAGTGCCGCTTCCGCGGGGGGTGGGGGTGCGCAGGAGCGGGACGGGGACTGGGCGGTCCGCAAGGCAAACGCCTTCGTGACCCAGCTCTGCCATCCAAATGGCGTAGCTTCCGAAGACCACCGCTTCCGATGAGTGGCCACACTGTGCGCCGTATGTCGGCTGATTGTTACCCTGGGCAGTTCACAGAGCGCCAGGCCTGAAGGCGTATCGGGCGCGGCGCTGAGAACAGACAACGCAGTTGAAGTCTGCCCCTTTTTGGGTTCAGGGCTTCGGAGCCCGCCTGATGGAAGCAAAACAACTTTCCGTCGTTGATGGGCGTGTTTCCCACCACCACCACCACCACCACCATAAGTTGGAGGGGGAAGGAGGAGGAGGACGAGGAGAAGTAGGACGGAGAAGAGGAGGAGGAGGAGGAGGAGGAGGAGGAGGAGGAGGAGGAGGACCCCCTCCCCCTTCAACTTATTGTTGTGGTGGTGGTGGAGAAAAGGCCATTCAGTCGTGCTCGTCGGGGCCTGTGAGCGCCGTGTCGCCGATCCCAGCCCGATGCCTCCCCGAATTGGCACCCCGTTTGCATCTTGACGCGGTCCCCGGGCCGGGCGAGTGCCCCCAGAGGTCAACCAAAAAACAACGACACCACCAGCAACAACAAGAACAAGCAACAACGCGGCAACAGCAACAGCAACAACAGCAACACCACTAACAAGATGTTAAGATTGTTCGCTCTGATCTGCTCGCGTTGCATTCAACATGTATAACCCAAATCCTCGATAGCCGCCCTCTTCGTCTTCGATCGTGCCCCTATTAGGGATCTATACCTCTGTTGCCTGCAACGTGTATTTCGCGCAGCCCCCAAGGGAGGGTAAGAGAGGACGGATGGAAGGAACGGACAAGCGGCAGGCGGGTTGCTGAAGCGTGCGGCCTGCATGAATCGCGAGAAAGTCTTGAGCTATATCGCGACTCTCAAACAAGTCGTGAGGAAATCCACAGCGAGAGCGTGATTCCTGAGTGTCGAAGGCGTGGCGTCATACTAAGATGTAAAGCAGTCCTACACGAGAGCGCGATTCATGTATCAATAATTGTCAGGAGGTCCCGCGCGAGAGCGCGATTTGGGAAGCAATTGTGATGAAGTAGATGCCAGGGCCCCAGTTTGGTGACCCTTCTCTTTCGTTTTTTTATTATTATTGAATAAAGCAAGAAAAAGGTGTGAGCCTCAGAAAAAGCACTCGAGTTGGCTCACGTGCCAAGCAATAGTATGTCGCAAACCCTAGGTGCCCGCCCTCGTTGTCTTCGATCGTTCCCCCTTGGGGGGTATATCTTCCTTACCTGTCACGTGCATTCAGTGCAGCCCCTAAAACAGGGGAGGAGAGGACGGGTGAAGGTGGAGAGAGAAGGATGGAACACGCGAATAATAAACAGGAGGCGGGCAAGGAGCAGAAGACAAGTGGTAAAAGCAGACAGGCAGATCGGGTGGGCAGACCCATAGCGGCCAGGTCGGGAAGGCGGTCCCAGGCGACCAGGTCGAGCAGGCGGGTTGCTTCAGCGGTCCTGCATGACTAGCGAGGAAGTCTCGAGGGACCACGCGATTCCCGAAGAAGGCCGTGGTAAAGCCCAAAGCGAGAACGTGATTCCTGAGCGCCGAGGGCGCACCGTTTGAATACATTACGAGGGACTCTCGCGCGAGAGCACGGTTCCTACATACACTGTGCGGAAGTCCCGCGCGAGAGCGCGAGTCCCCAATACATTGCCAGGAGGTATCAGGCGGGAACCGTTTTTTTTGTTGTTGTTGTTGCTGCTGCTGTTGTTGAACATTATTAATTCTAAAGAATAATTATTGTTGGGCCCCCTGGTGCACGCCCCCCCCCCCCGCGCCTAGGCCGCAGCCACATTTTCATAATTTTCGTGAGGAAGTCTCAAGTAAAACGATGTCATCCAGATCCGGTTGTTTTGTTGACGCCCGCTTTCCCTGTCAAAAAACACTATAAAATGACATGTCTTGTTCTAACATAACCAAACTTCAAGAATCCTTTGCAAAAAATGACACGAAGTGCACACTCGCGCGCGCAAGATGAAATCCTTCCAAAACCTTAGTTTTCGTAGCGATTTTAACATAAAAACATGAAAAACCCAATGGTTTTTCAAAAAAAAAGTTTCAACAAATCATCTTGCGCGCTCTTGCGGATTTCTGAGGAAACCCAATATTTTTTCAACATTTCTGTCAAACGGGCTCTTGCGAGCAACTTTTTCACGTGCTTCGAACTTCTGCAACAACGGTTGCGCGCATGCCAGGGCCATCATCCCTGTCAAATAATACCATATTGGACACATTCGTTTTTTCTTCGCGCGCGCACGCCGTCGTCGTCGGCCGCGGGGCCCTGAATAGTAGCCACGGTCGTCCGCATGCCACGAAGTGAAGTGTCCGAACGTCATAGGGCGGGAAGCTGGGTGTGGGTGGTGGCGAAGAGTCGTATGGAAATTTGGTAGAGCTTGAACCGGCCCCCCCACAAAGTGGGGTTATTGCCCGCCTCCTATGAAAACCCTGGCACTGGTGAGAACGGAGTGTCCCCAGTCTTCAATGATTGTTGTTGTTGTTGTTGTTGTTGTTGTTGTTGTTGTTGGTAGTGTTGTTTTCGGGGCCGAACCATGCAGTTTGAGGAGAACGATTCCCCCTCATAAAAAACAGGGTGCGAGCCCCAGGAGGGGCAATTCAATATAAAAAACACAGATGTTACCAGAGGGGGGATCAACAGTAACTTGTCTTCAGAAGTTAGGGTTCAACCACAACAATTACAACACCAACAACAGCAGCAACCTCACCAGCAACAGCACCACCACCAAGAGCATCAACTCCAACACCACCAACAACAACATTAACAACACTAACAACATTGACAACGCCAACAACAACAGCATTAACAACAAACACATCATCATCAACAATAACCATAGCAGCATCAACGATAACCACAACACTTCCACCACCAACAACAGCAACAACATCAACAGTCATGTCAATACTGCTTGCTTCTAGCAGCTCGCGTGCCGTTCAACACGTAGATCCCGCACCAACAGCCCCCGCCCTCTCATGAAAAAGCGGTGCACCAGAGATGTCAGCAGGAGCGGGGCTAGGAGCAGACAGCCCGTGGCAGAAACAGACGGGCAGTCCAGGCGAGAAGACCTTAGCGGGCGGGTCTGGAAGGCGGGGCCAGGCGGCCTGGCGGGTTGCTGAAGCGTGAGTCCTGCACGAACCGCGAGGAGGTCTCGAGCGATAGCGCGATTCACAAGCAGTCCGGAAGAAAAGCCAGAGCGATAGCGCGATTCCTGAGCGTCGAGGGGGTGACGTTTGATTAGATTCTGAGGAGGTCCCACGCGGGAGCGCGATTCCTGCACAAATTGTGAGGCTTTCTTGCGCGAGAGTGGAATACATTGTGAGGAAACATCAGTCGGAAGTCGCTGTTGTTGTAAACCGGAGGCCCAGGGGCAGTTTTGTGACCACGGTTTTTTCCCTTATAAGAATAAACACTGGGCGAGCCCCGGGAAGAGTACTTAAGTTGAAAAACGCAATGGTCATTAGAGGGTGGTTAATCGCTTTTTCCTATAGAAACATGAAAATTCAAAAACAGATCCGTCGTGCTCCTCGGAGCGCATCACCTATATTGTCGACGGTGTATCACCGATTCAAGTTCGATGTCCCCCCCCGTAGGGACACCCCGCATGACGGTCATGGTCCTCTTCTTAGCGTGTATGTGATTTCGGGCCCTTGGACGACGAAGCCGTTCACACGCCAAGCAGCGCAGGGGCGCACACGCTCAGTAGGGTCGGGAGAAACAGCCCTCCGACATACACGCGAAGTGCCAACCACGCAGGATTCACGCTAAGTGCGGAGCATTTTGCGCGTACAGTCGTATTCCGCGGCTGCGGGCGACATGGCGGAGACGGACCGCAGGAGCTGGGATGGGGCACGTTTTCTCTCTTTTTTTGTTTCTCTCTTTTTTTTCTCTCTCTCTCTCTCTCTGCCCTCCTCTCCTGCTTCCTCCCTTGCCTTTCTCTCCCCCGAGCCTGCTTGAGCGCGTGCTGGGCTTGCCTTTTCCTGCCCGCAGGCCTTGCTTCGCAGTGGGCGTGTGTACCGTCGGGGCCCTGAAGAGGGAACCCTTTTCGTTTGGGAGGGGCTCCGCGTTCCTTAAGTGTTTCACAGCTTGCCTTAGGCTTTCCTTATGTTTTCGGCAGGAAGTCGAAGTTTCACTTGTGGAGAAAAGGGGCCTCGTTCCTTATGTAGGGTTCCTTAGGTCTACGCCCCGACGGTATTCCCAAGTGCACGCTGAGAACAGGGCCGTGGCCGCCACGCTCCCCCCCCCCTCCGCAGGCGGGCCCCGCGTCGCAGCTGCGCAGGGCGAGGCTGGCGATGCTCAAGTGGCGGCAGGACCTCGGAGGAGGTGCAAAGAGTTGTCGTTGAAGGTAGGTATCTCTTCGGGAGCGGCAGGACTTCGGAGGACTTCGGAGGACTTCGGACTTTGAGGGGGACTTCGGACTTTGAAGGACTTCGGAGGACTTCGGACTTTGAGGGCGTTCTGGTAGGACTCGGAGGCAGGACTTCGGCCGACTTCGGACTTTGAAGGTCGTTGAAGTGGCGGCAGGACCTCGGAGGAGGTGCAAGCCGGTCGTTGAAGGCAGGTATGACGAACGAAGAACTCGATTACACGTAAGAGTGACCCTTCGCCGGAGTGACCTTTGGTGCGGGCGCACTAGGGTCCCCGATCGCCGAACGCGAGGCGGCAGCGGCGTCTTGCTCGCTTGTGTTTGGCCCCCCCCGCGGCCCCCAAAAAACCGCGCACCAAAGGTCACTCTTACCCAGGGTCACTCTTACGTGTAGCCGAACAACACACACCCATACCCATAGGGGGGTCGTTGGGAGGAGGACTGGCTATGGGTATTGGGTGCGGGTTGTCGGACCCTGGGGAACGCTCCCGCTCGAGCGGGGACCCCCGTCCGACAACACGCACCCATAGCCCTCTCCGACCCCCCTATGGATATGGGTGTGTGTTGTTGGTTCGTCAAGGTATTTCTTCGGGAGCCTTTGGACGGGGGTCAATGCAGACGGGGGTCAGCCAGGGCACCGGATCCTTCAGCATCCTGCGAAGAGCCCCTTCTGTCTGACCCGGGTTCGCGAGCCGCTCGTGGCCGCGAGTCGGCCGCGCATATTGGCTGACCCGGGTTTGCGAAGACCTGCGTTGCAGTTTTTTGACCTGCGTTGCAGTTTTTGGTTTCCTGCTGACCTGGGTCCGGATTGACCCGGGTCAGAAGATCCCCGATTTCTGGGCTCCCAGATCCCACTCTATTTCAAGCGCCTTCCTACCTCAAGAATTCGGTCGACTTTTTCGGTCGACTTTTGCTGTGTCTTGTTCTCGTCTGGGAGGGGATGGGCCTGATCTACTCCACGTTTCTGCCTCGAGTTTCTACCCGCTTCGTGTTTCTACATACTTCTTCCGACCGACGTTTCTGCCTCGAGTTTCTACCTGCTTCCTGTTTCTACATACTTCTTCCGACCGACGTGCAGAGGCACCCCGACCCCCTCGAGACGTGGGCAAACCGCGGCGGAGAATTCGAGGTTATCCGCAGCCCCTGGGGGCTCGCGCCCTCGGGGCCGCCAAGAAAGGTTAGTCGTCCGGATGAGAGCCCCGGCCCCGCGGAATGGCTCCAGACCTCCAGGGGGCCGACGCCGTGAAAGAAGACGTGTCGTCAGGGCCTGGGCGCCGACCCAGACGCGCTCACGTCGCAACAGAGTACGGCGGGCGGCGCTTGCAGCGCTGCGATCTGGGGGAACCCGCGCTGGGCGCCGGGACTGTGAAGCGGCGACGGTCCCGGACACAAAGCGTGGTCCTGGGCCTCTGGGCGCCATCCTGCGTTCGGTCTTTGGCCCAAGTGCGAGAAGCCTGGGCGGTCACGCCTAACCCGATGGGGCAGCGCCACTCGCCCGGAGTGTGCACACCAGTCGGAGGGAGACCGAGCAAGGTCGCAGTTCTGCGTCGGGGAGGAGCCCCCTCCCCTCTGATGCCCCTCCGCGCCTGGGGCCGCCCGCCGTCGAGCCAACCCCGAAGGTCGCCGGGTCGCGACCGCAGTGCAGAAAGCAACACGCCGCAGGTCTGGGCACCCCTGCCTCGAGGAGGAGTGGGAGGAGGAGGAGGAGGAGGAGGAGGAGGAGGATTTTTTTTGGTCACGTTTGACCGAAGCAGTAACAAAGGGGCCGCACAGCGGCCCACCAGACTGAGCGTCAGTGAGGGGCAGGAGACCACAGCGCACACCTCCCAAACGGGGAGTGGGCCTTGGCCAGCCGCCTCTCGACTCGCATCAGTCCGAGGATCCCGAATCAAGGTCATCTTTGACCTTGCCTGCGACCTGGGGAGCGTTATCCTCCCCTCCTCGCGAGGGGTCCGCTCGATCGAGCCTGGACCTGGGATCCGAGTCGAGGGCGGGTGCCACCGCGTGGGGCGACGCTCCACCCTCAAAACGAAAACGCGCAGCTTCGTCCTCTGCGTGCACATCACAGCTTGGCTCGGGGGCAAGTCTGGACGACATCGCCTCAGCCGCAGCCTGCCGCGTGACTCCCCCACCCACCCCCGCTCCAACGCACCCGCTTCCTTCGCAGCAATGCGAGCTCGCAGAGCCGCCAGCCTGTCGATGTAGCTGGCGTGAGCTGGGATACGCGCAGGCCTGACCGCCTGTTCGTATGAATTAGCTTCTTGCAGGGTGAGTGGAGCTTCATGCTCCGCGCATTTGACCGACAGCTCTTTCTTCGGATGCAGTCCTCTCCGCAATCTCCTGAGAGCCGTCGTTCCAGCACTGCTCCTGTCCTCGTCCGTTCGGGGTTGGCGGCAGCGCGAGTCATCAATGATGTTGGAATGACCCCCCCTCCAAGGACCCTCTTCAGAGACCCCTACAACGGTTCATTTTCATTGAAGGAATTGCCTCGTTGGAAAACAACAGTTTGAAGATCCTGAAGAGTGCCAAAACATTGTTCTCGGGATTCCACCCCACGTATCAACCTGACCGCTGCGTCTTGACGATTCAGAATCGTGCCAGAACGCCGTTCCTGGGACTTCAACACAGCGAATCAATATAATTGTTGCGCCCGCATAATCCTGAAGATCATGGGAACCCGTCAAACTCTCGCAATTTAACACAAAACACGAATGCGCGCGGTGCTAAGGCGAGAGCCACATTTTGAAAAGGAGCCCTCCTCACTCCATTAATTTCTTGCAATTTCTAAAAAATCGAAATTGCGCGGCGCTGAGGCGAGAGCCTCATTTTGAAAACAACCCGCCTTCAATCCGTGAAGCCATTTCAATTGTTTGAAACGAATGAGCGCGGCGCTAATGCGAGAGCCATATTTTGAAAATCACCCGCTCTCAATCTGTGAAGGTCTTGCAAATTTCAATAACGAATGTGCGCGGCGCTAATGCGAGAACCACATTTTGAAAAAGGAGCCCTCCTCAATCCATGAAGCTCTTGCAAGTTAACGAATGTGCGCGGCGCTGAGGCGAGAGCCTCATTTTGAAAACGACCCGCCTTCAATCCGTGAAGCTCTTGCACGTTTCTAAATTGAGTGTGCGCGGCGCTATGGCGAGAGCCACATTTTGAAAACGACCCGCCCTCCATCTGTGAAACTGTTGTCATTTTTAAGCTTCATAGTAACAGATGGGGAGGAAGTCTCAGGCGAAACGCCCGGCACGCCCTAAAAACTGGCCTCGGGGTGAGACAGGAATGGAGGAGGAGGAGGAGGAGGAGGAGGAGGAGGAGGAGGAAGAGGCGGAGGAGGAAGAGGAGGAGAAGGAGGAGGAGGAGGAGGAGGAGAAGGAGGAGGGGGAGGAAGATGAGGAGGAGAAGGAGGAGGAGAAGGAGGAGGAGGAGGAGGGGGAGGGGAGGGGGATGATGATGATGAGGAGGAGGAGGAGGAGGAGGACTCGTCCTCGCCTCTCTCTCTCTCTCGGCCTCCCTGGGGGGGGACCCTTCCTCGTCGCCACGGCGGGGCCCGCCCTGGGGCTCCAGCCGGGTCCGCACGCGCCCCGGCATGAGGTCCCGGGCGCAGCGGCATCGGAGCCTGCACCTTTACCGGGGGCGGCAAGGAGGAGGGTGAGGACTATAGGGGGGGGGGGATAGCGTGGCGGTGGCCATGATATTTTCCCAGATCTCGTGGCGCCTCTTCTTGTTTCATTACGTCCCTGGCCCCCCCCCCCCCGCTGGGCCGCGCACATGCCGCCGGTCATGATTTGCACCCCCCCTTTTGGACACCCCCCTCTTGGCCGCCTCCGACTTTAGGCCTCCCAGATGGTGTCCGAGCAGATGGGGTCGGAGGATCGCGCCCCACACATGATCGCGTTGAGCCAAAACATCCGGGCGGGAGCGGCCTCGGGGGGCCCCTCGCCGGGCCTCGGCACCGTCAAGAAGCGACCCCTAGGATGAAAAACCGGGCCCGGGGAAAATGCGTCGGGATTTCCAGGGACCTCGGATCGAAAAAATAAGGACGTCGCATGTCTGGGGCCCCATCGCCGATGCATCGACGGTGCGGCTCGCTGTGGAGGCCGTGCGTCCCCATGCCGACGGCGCCGATGCGTCGCCGACGTCGCTGGTGCATCGCCGATGCAGGGGTGACGCGTCGGCGTTGCGCTGGCGATGCGGTGCGATCCTCCGACCCCATCTGCTCGGACCCCATCTTGGTGGCCTCCGGTACCTCGTGGTTCCCCCCGAGGACTACATCCGCGACGCCAGGAGCAAGGCGCGCGTGGCCGTGCAGCTGCGGCGCGCAGCCGCGAAGGCCCAGGACGCGGCGGCCGAGCTGAGGGCGCGCGGCGCGAGCCTCCAGTGCGCGCCCGGCGACCACGTGGCGGTGCTCCGCGACAGGAGCCGGGCAACGCTAAATTAACGGGCGAAGAACGGTATAACATAAACTTTTTCGCCGTCGGGGACACCTGCCCCTTGGCGGCTGGAAAGTTTGCGGAAAAGTTTATTTTATACCGTTCTTCGCTCGCTGACTAAGGGGGGTACTCGGCGGTCGGGAACGTTAAGGCAGAGTGTCGCTCCGCCGGCTCCGGCCCACCACGCTTCGGAGCGGCCCGCCATCGGCTTCCCCGTCCCCGGCCGTTCCCGAGCCTCGCGCCCCCTGCAGTCCGCTTGCGAGGCACCACGTGACGCCGGCGCCGCCGCCGCGACACGCTGAACAAGAATTCCCGACCGTAAGCAGAAACGCTCGGGGGTCGCATCGACCCCAAAACGTCCCTGGATCGCGGAGCGAAGGGCCTGGTGACCCACCCCGTCGAGGACGCGTGCGGTGTCGCTGTCGGTGGCCTGGTCCCGACCCGTCGGCGATGCAACGGTTACGGAGGTGCGGTGGATAGTAGAGCTCGCCGCCTCGCCGCCCCCACCGCCGACCGCAGGGCACAATTGGTCAACACCAAGGATTTCGAGGGGGTACCTCTTGCCACGCCCGTGAAGAAATCTCAGCCAGGGGATGGTTTCAAAAATGTGGCAGGTGCCATGTTGCGATCGATCCTGAGATCGATGGAAAGCTCGATCGTGGGATCCGAAATCGGCCCAGGACCAGCCACCAGGAACCCGGAACCGGGAACCCAGAGATCCAGCCAGCAACCGAAATCGGCCCTGGACTTTCGCCAAATCTTTCAATATCTGCCAGGACCCCGTCAGTGCAAGCACTGATTGGGGAATTCTCTGGGCATCCGGTTCTCGTCGAATATTCGTAGTCGATGTTTTCCCACCCGAGCCAGTGCCCCCCCTATCGTGGCCCCGACGTCATGATTTTCTCATTGCGTCGACCCCTGGAGGTCTCGACAAAATTCCCCTGGACCGGCTTGTCGTCCCGAGTCGTTCTTTGACGTCCCGCGGGCCGGTATAAGGGCCCCCAGAGGCCGAAAATACAGTGGGGGCGCGTGCCAAGAAACCAGTTGGATTCTGCTAGGGTGCCCTGGGTTTCTTGGATTTCGATGGGCCTCAATAAGGTCTTGACGATTTTCGATCAACTAATCCGGATTTTCACGGAACAGTTCGCGGATGTCACGGTTGGGCTTCTTGCGGAGGTCTTTTGTGGCCGAGCCCCCACTGTAGCGAAAAACCTACCGTCGTGATTTTTGCAATTGCCCAAGGGGGCCTGGGTCGGCTATGCGCAAGAGTGACCCTGGGAAAGAGTGACCTTTGGTGCGCGGCTCTTTGGGGGCCGCGGGGGGGGGGGGCCAAACCTTGGCGCGCAGGCGGCTGCCACTGCTTCGTGTCCAGCCATTGGGGGCCCATCTGTGCCCGCACCGAAGGTCACCCCTGCGAAAGGTCACTCTTACGCCCAGTCGACTCGGGCCCCTCGCAGGAGCTGGCGCGCCGGCGTCGTGACGGAGGCGGACGAGGACGGGTCGCTGCGCGTCGAGTGGGAGGAGGGCACGCCGCGCAGCGCGGCGTCGAGCGCTGCGGCGGCGAGCGGCCCGCGGGCGTCCATCGTCGACCCCTCCGAGGAGGTGCGGGTGGTCATCGAGGACCCAGGGGACAAGGTACCTCGGAGGTGCACGGACCTCCTACCCTGACACGACGATTAGCGAATTGGCCGTTTTCGGTTCGCGAGAGGGCGTCGCGGCCGTCACTTTTGCGGGTCCAGGTCCGTCGGTTTCGGTCCCAGGCCATTTTCACTACAGGGTGGTTTGCTAAAGGGAGGTTTGTCCAACGCCGAGTACCCATACCGCCGCTCGAAGAAGAAACAACGCCATAAACATGAACTTTTGGCGCTCCGCGCGGATTTCTTGGATCCGCGCCTGGGACCCCCGGCGGCGCTTCCGGCGCCGCCCCTGGCGCGCTCCGTGCGCCAGAGAGGGGTTCCGGCGCGAATCCAAGAAATCCGCGCGGAGCGCCGTAAGTCTATGTTTATGATTTTTCTCTTATTCTAACTGCCCTTGCTTCGTTTTCCCCTTGTTCGGCCTCCTGGGAGGCCCTCGTCGCCACCACTGCACTCGCCTCGGAGTCCTGGTCAGCAGGCGCCCTGGGAGAGAGGTCTGGGGAGCAGCGGTATCTCGTCACCTCTTGGCTGCCCCGAGGACGGCGCAGAGCGCGTGGAGTTCTTCAACGTGTTCCCTGGCGAGCGGGCCGGCAAGAAGGTGACGATCCGCGTGAGGAGCGACACGGGGCCCTCTGGGCTGCCCCACCCCAAAAGTCAGGAAGGCCTGGAGGTGGTCGTCGACGACCAGGGGCGCCCGAGCCTCGTGGAGCCGCTGCGGCACGTCGGCTACGACCCCGCGACGCGGGACCTGACCCTGACGTTCCTCCGCAGGCACGGCGCCGTCACCGCCCGCATCCCGGCCGGGGAGGACGCCCTGGTGGTGCCGAGGTCGGGGTCGGCAAAGAGGGGGGGGGGACTAGGGGGAGGGGGTGTGGACATCATGGCGAGGGCCAGGATATCTCCCCAGGTTTCATGGCGCCTCGTCTTACTTCGATGCGTCCCCTGCCCCCCCCCCCCCCCCCCCCCTGGGCCGCGCACGTGCCGACGGCCATGATTTGCGCCCCCCCCTCTTGGACGCCCCCCTCTTGGCCGGCCCTGGCAAGGGTGAAGTGGATGGCATCGCTGGTCGGGGTGCCCGTGGAGGGCGTGGCCAAGGGGTACCCGGAGCTGCACGACGACTTGCAGAGGGTCGAGTTCTGCCGGGAGCTCCTCGGCGAGGTCTGGCAGAGGCTGCCCGTCGCCGAGGATCGAAGGAAACAGAAGCATCATGGGTTAGGTCGGGCCTGTCCCTCTACAGGAGGAATATTCAAAAATAGTCAAACAATAGTTTGGGGTGATTTTCCAATATTTGATGGATGCTTCATTTTTCGATCAAAATCCCCCTGTAGGAGGACAGGCCCGACTTAGATCATGGGTTAGCATTCACTTGCGGAGCTCCGCGCGGATTGCCAAACATCCTCTGGTGTTGGGTCCTCGTTTTGAAGACACAGTGCTCCGCGTCCTCACGCGTTCCTCCCCTCTCCTCCCTCCTCCCATCCCTGCCTCTGCTCTCCGCACGACCGTGTCGGCACACCCCTCACACGTTTCGTGGCTTCGAGGGTGTTCCATCGAAGGCCCACGCGGCAGGGCCCGCATGGCGTTTCCGAGCCCGATGCAGTACACCCCTCGCACGCTTCGTAGCTCCATATGGTGCTCCCTCGACGGTCCCAGCGGCAGGGCCCACATGACGCCACCTTATCCGATTCGGCACACACCTCACATGTTCCGTTGCCCCATACAGAGGTCCTCCGACAAGGCCAGGCGGCAGGATCTGCATGGCGTACTTGCAGCCGCTTGGGCACAGCCAGCACACGTTTCGTGGTTCCTTGGCGAGCCTCCACCGAAGCACCCAGCGGTCGGGTCTGCACGGAGTGCTCGCGCCCGATTCGGCTCACCCCTCGCACGCTCCGTAGCCCCAGGGGAATTCCCAAGGCCCCAGCGACAGGGTCCGCATGGCGCACCCGCGCCGGGTTGATTCGGCACACCGCTCATACGCTTCGTGGCCCCACAGGGAGCCCCACCGCAGGCCCCAGTGGCAAGGCTCGCATGCACCCGCGCCCGCGCCCGATTCGGCACACTCCTCGCACGCCTCGCAGCCCCATGGGGAGCTCCACCGAATGCCCCTTCGGCGGGGTCCGCATGGCGCACCCGCACCCGATTCGGCACACCCCTCGCACGATTCGCAGCCCCAGCGGCAGGCTCCGCATGGCGCATTCGCTCCTCGCGCGCGCTCTGTGGCCCCGGAGGGGGCTCCACCGAAGCGCCCAGGGCAGGGGCACGCTGGACGCCGCAGTTCACGTGCTGCCCCCCCTCCTCTGCCTCGCCTGCCCCGCGATGCTCGCGGCCGCACGTGGTGGGGTCTTCCGCCCCATGAGCAGGAGCAGGGCAGGAACACGACCCGGAAGCTGGATCGGACGTTCTTCGGGGTAGGCTTGCGAGCGTGTCGCGAAACACATGCACCACATCGAAAAACGCGACCTTGGCCCCAGACCCCATCGTCCTGCGTCAGGTCCGAGCCGGATCGGTCGGGGGTGGTCCCCGGGGTCCGGCACCTGGCGAAAGCGCGTGTTGTGAGGAACTGCGACGCTCGGATCCCAGGGGACGGCGAGCCAAACTGTACGTTTCGGACCAAGGCCCCTGCATACCTCAGTGCATGTTGTGAAGGCCTCACGGCCTGTGCGCCGACCCTGCGGGACCTTCCTGGGAACCCCTGGCTAGCGCCCCCCCCCCCCCCCGCATCCGCCTGGACCCTGGGGGGGGGGCCGGTGCTCTGACTCGGGAGCAGCCTCCCCCAGCACAGGCGGGACCTCCCCTCGGATCCCCCCCGCCAGGAACTTCTCCCCACAGGGGGACCACCCCCTGTCCACAGGGGGGACTGGGAATCACCACCCACCAACCCACCTCAACCCAACCCGAAGGCTCCACTTTGCCATCCATTTCCAGTGGGGGGGGGCGTCGGGGAACATTCAAAACAACTCATGTGGAACCCGTACCCCCCCCAACCCGAAATCTGGGGTCTTCGGGTTAGGTTGGGGGGCTTTGGTAGGTAGTCAGAGTCAGGGGAGGGTCAGGAGGGAAAGAAACACACAGACACAATTCATCGTCAATTCCTCCGAAAATATGGGGAAATCTGGGAACTGGGGGGAAAACGGAAACCCAGACAAAACTGGGATAACATGGGGAATATGTTTATTTATGTGTATTTCTTTGTGTGTCCCAGGGCCCCTTCAGAGGGGCCACTGGGACCCGAGGGGGTAATCTGACCTGGGACGCCCCCCTTCCCTGCCCCTCCCCGGGCACCCCCCCCTACCCTCGGGGGCACCCCTCCCCGGCCCCCCCCCCACCTTCCCTACCTCTGCACGAACGAAATGAGCACGGAAAGAATGGGTACAATGCCCAACAGCGGATCTGGTTCATTTTGAACAGGACTCGCTGTCCACTTCGCCGCGGCCTGTGTCCATTCGAGACAGAAGGCCGCCTGCCCAACAGCGGCCGCTGTTGGTTTGGGACAACATTTGGCGTTGGGCATTGTATCCATTCTTTCCGTACCCATTTCTCGGGCGTCCAAATTACCCCCCCTACCCTCGGGGGCGGCAAAGAGAGGGGTGATGACTAGGGGGGGTGGTTATTGTCGAGCCGAGGCGACTCGAGCGAAGTTTTGAGTCAACCTCTCCTTCCTCTCTCTCTCTTGCCGCCGCCTCCGCGGCTGTATGGGATCGAGGAGGGGGCCCCCTCTTTTGTGCAGAGAGCGCGGCAGACACGCTCGCCGGCACGGGCCGGCGCCAGATGCTCGACGGACGAGCGCAGCACATCACATCGTGCACAATACATCGTCGACGGTAATCACGACATTGGTAGCGGAGCTAGATCCACGGACGAGTTCTGGCACTCCTGAAGGGACCAGAACATCATGCAAGGGGACGACAAGAAGTCCAAGGATGCCATCCCAGAATGGGACGGCAACCCAGGGCGTTGGCGTCACTTCGAGACGGCTGTGAAGTGGTTCCCTCGCACGCTCAAGCGGCAGGAGAGGGACCTGGCGGCGAACCGGATCATTGGACGCATGCTGCAGAGTAAGACGATCGCCATCAGGACGTTTGCGACCACTCTGGATCCGGACCGATATGAGAATCCGAATGGCCACCTCCTCCTCTTAGACGACCTGAGGAGCAGCCCGCTAGGGAAGCTTCCGATCCCGGACGCAGCCCACAAGATCAAGCATTACTACAAGGATTTCAAGCGGCGCAAGGGCGAGACGGTGGGCGCGCTCCTGATCAGGGAGCAGGACTGCTACTCAGAGATGGTCCAGGCGCTGGAGCGCCTCCTGGAGGAGATGGGCGACAACGACAAGTACAAGCAGTGCCAGGAGTGCTACGGCTACTTCGAGAGAGACCGTGGCGCAGCCGGACGTGGACAATGGTACTGCCAGAGGTGCTGGGACCACTGGGAGCCCAGCCCCGACGCGTCGGCGCCCTCAGCAGCAGATGATGCCCTTGCTGAGGAAGCAGAAGAAGCAGATGAGTACGAACGACAGTCGATTACGTCTCGTTCGCAGGGCTCTCGAACGGAACGATTTCACCGACAAGAATCCATGGCTAGCAAGCTCAAGGTTTCGGAAGCGATGGCAGTGGGCTCCACGTTCTTCGGCCACGCTTCTGGAGTTCTGAAGGTCCTCCGCGGATTCTTCCTGCTCGAGGCGATGGACTTCACCGAGAAAGAGAAGCAGGACGTCCGCGTGGTCACGCAGAATCGTTTGGATTTCGATGCAGTCTCCAAGGCTCTGAAGGAGAGATGGGGGGACAAGGCGCTGGTGCAGCGGGACTTCGGACCGAGGGCCATGCCTCGGTACGGCCCGGAGTCAGGCCCTCAGTCGGCCCTCGTTGCAGAGTTTGACGACGTACACGGACCAGACTGGTACGACGGCTACGCAGCGGCAGTTCAGGCGTGGGAGAACGACGGATACGACCACCACGAGAACGAGGACGACTACGACGTCGTGGAGGAGCCGCAGCTCGCCTCAGAGCCAGAAGAGTCCGAGGCCATGGATGAGGATCTCAACCATCTCAACGAGGAGCTCGAGGCGGCCCAGGCGATGGCAGCAGAGGCTTCACGCACTCTGGTTCAAGCCAGGCAAGCAGTGGCCGCCGCTCACAAAGATCGAGGATTTGGCAAGCCATCATCGAGTCCAGGAGGGAAGAGTCGCCTTCCCCCGTCGTGGCCACACCAGCAGCCCTCAAGACCGCCGTTCAGTGGTCGAGGCCCGAAGGGCAGCAAGGGCGGCAAGAGCGGCAAGGGCAGCAAGTACCGCGACAGGGACCACGACCAGAAGGGCAAGAATGCGAACTACCTGGAGTTTCACACGATCACTCACGGGTTTGACGAGCTCCAGGGTCTGTACCAGGCGGAGCTGAACGACAGCGGCCTCGCCCCCTCTGAGGCCATGGTTGATTGCGGGGCTTCCGCGTCCGCCGGAGGCGAGCGCGCAGTCCAGGCCCTGGTTGCCCTGGTTGCCGCCGTTGCGGCTGCGAACCCACAGGCCAGGATCGAGATCAACAAAAATGAAAGACCGTGGTTTCATTTCGGAGACAATAAGTGGGGCAGAGCACTGTATAAGGTTTCGGTCGAGTTCGAGCCGGGCTTCGTTCTGTGTATTTTCGCTCTCAGTCCTGGCCTGCCTCTCGTTCTGTTGGGAATGACTGCTCTGGAGTCGTGGCCGGCAATCGTGAATTTCCGAACCGGGGAGGCTGTGATCAGGGGTCAACTGGTGCAGCTTCGCAAGACTCCAGGCAAGGGCCATTGCATCCTCGACCTGGTGAAGCACGTTTCCGAGATTTTAAACCCGACCGCGGAAAACACCGAGGGTCTTGCAAGGGCGTTTCAGAGATGGTCGATGACAAAGACCACATCACCACCATCAGCATCATCTCAGACAAGAACGACATCACCAGCATCATCTCAGACAAGAACGACATCATCAGCATCATCTCGGACAAGGACGACTTTATCAGCACCATCTCAAACAATAACGACATCATCAGCATCATCTCAGATGAGAACGACACCATCATCAGTATATACGGCCCTGACGACAACACCATCATTGATAACAGCAACATCACCTCCATCAGCCATAACAGGAAGAGCAGCTCCATCATGGTCATCCCATCCTCCGCCGTCTTTTGGCTCTGGAACTCGCTCAGAGCGGTTTTCGGCAATCCGCAAGCCGGCGCTTCAGTCAGCGCGTTTCCATGGAGGGCAAGGACGAATGGGTACCTGTCGACATAGATGCCGACAAGAAGGAGGAGGGCCCGGAGGTAAAGTCACCTTCGGCGGCAGCGAGCTCCGGACCTACGACCCAGGTCAAGCGGGAGTTCGTCTTCAACGGCCAGAAGATGGAGTATGTCACCTCGGAGGTCAAGGAGAGAGATCCGGGCAACGCGCACCAGGGTCGCAAGAAGGAGAAGCAGATGGAGCTGGACCCGGCGTTCGCACTGCAGGTGGACCCCCGCGACCCGAGGGCCACACGGGGATCGTGCGGGCAGACGCATCGCAAGTACTTCACGGTCAACAACCAGTGGGGCCAGACCAGGACGTGCTATCGGTGCGGGCTGAGGTTGCTCTACGTTCCGACGGCGAAGGCGCCGATGACGAACCTCAGCATGCAGCATCCGAAGTTGGTGGAGTCCGGCCTGGAGTTGGTGCGGCACTGCAACCTGTGGGAGACGGCCAATCACGAGCAGGTGACCGCGATGATCAACATCGCCACCTCACTTCGGAGGCTCCCCGGGACCGGGATCCGACACGCGCCGGACGCGCTGCTGGAGATGTTGGGGGCAGCGAATCCCAGGCGCAAGGTCCAGATGGCCGAACCAGTACCCGGGCCAGTCTGAGCCGGGTGCCGAGACAGCTTCTGGCGGCCGGACGCCGGAGGACACTACTCGCAGGACTGGCTTTGGCCATGACCGTGGGTACGATCACCGAGGCAGTGGAGATCTGCTGCCATCCCAACAGCATGCTGACCGACGAGTGCACCAACATCGGCCTCAGCATGGAGCGGATCAGCATCGAGAGCGGCTACAACCTCAGCACGAAGGCGGGGTTCGAGGCCGCTAGCAAGAAGCTGGACGAGGTGATGCCGAAGAGGGCTTGGATATCGCTACCATGCACGCTATGGACTTCGCTTACGAACTTCAATTGCAAGACACCAGAGGCACGTGCACGCCTCGAGAAAGACCGACTTCGAGACCGACGACGTGTGAAGTATGGAGTTCTCCTGTTGCTAAAGATTGTTGACAACGGAGGCGAGGTCTACTTCGAGTGGCCTCACAGGTGTCAAGGCTGGAAGATTCCCGAGCTCAACTTTCTTCGCATGGAGTTGAGGCGTCGGGGACGACACGTCTTCGAAGATCGGATCGACGGGTGCATGTACGGCCTCAGGGACTACAACACTAACGAGCTCGTCGAGAAGGGCTGGAGGATCATGACCACCGACCCGGAGTTCTCCAAGGTCGCGACCGTGTGTGACCACTCACACGGCCACCGAGTCATCAGCGGGAAGCTACACACTGCAGCCACGGCCTACTACCCGCAGGCGATGTGCAAGGCAATTGCTCGGCTATGGCATGCTCAACTCCGGACCCCGATCGACCTCAACATGGCCCTGGAGAACCCTGCTGTCCTCGACCTCGAGAATGCCTACCTGATGGAGCGGGACACCGGGAGCATCTACGTCGCTGAGCCCACGGATCCCGAAAGGGAACAGGTGCGTGCGATGTTGAGCAGGATCCACAAGGCTGCAGGGCACCCAGGGAACGAGCACTTGGCTTACTGGTGCAAGAAGCGACAGTGTCCACGCTGGATCATCGAAGAAGCGAGCAACCTACGCTGCGAGGCATGCGACCTGGTCAAGCACGGCCTTACCCACAAGGTCAAGGCGAGCCTCGACATCCCCATGGCACCTTGGCAGGCAGCCGTCATGGACGTTTCCGACCTGACGTTCCCGGACTTGAATGTGAAGGCCAGGTTTCTCCTCATCGCAGAGGTCGCCACCGGCCTGATGTGTGGAGACATCGCTGCGAAGATCGGCCTCAAAGACAAGGGCACGGATTCGTCAGCTACGCTGTTCACGACGTTTGCCAGAGCCTACCTTCAACACTATCCCAAGCCAAGGTGGGTTTTCGTCGATCCTCAGACCTCTTTTGTGGGCGGCGAGTTTAAAGACAACTGCCAGTTGGCCGGCATCGGCGTCTCAGCGAAACCAGGAGGAGCACATTGGATGGCTGGCGACATCGAGCGCCGCATCTCGACCGTCAAGCAGGTAATGAGGAAGCTTCGCCTACAATGCCCGAAGCTGAGTCCCGAGACCGTGTTTTACATCTCGATTGCGTTGGAGGGTGAAAGTGGGGGTCGGCCGCAGGGTCCCGGCAATGATGTCTTTATGGGCCATGAATGGGCGATGCATCCTCGATTGCTGTGTTCGGCGGGGGAACTAATGGAAGCCCCCCGCCTGCACCCATGCGCGAGACTTGAAAGGTAAGGAAGCAAGGGGCGGGGGGCTCGGGAAAGGCGACGAAGGCAACGTGCGCTGCGGGCGCAAAAAGGAAAGGCTGGAACGCACGAAAGCGGTCAGGTGAGTGTCGAAATCTGCCCAGCCAATCTGACATGCGGAACAAAACGCCTCAGCGTTGGGGATCTTGAAGGCCAGGGCAAAATGTGAATTCACATTGTGGGGAAAAGCAAAATGTGAATTCACATTTTGGGAAAAAGGAAAATGTGAATTCACATTTTGGAAAAAAGAAAAATGTGAATTCACATTTTCGATTTTTGTGTAGGTTTCTTTATGAAGCGGGCCAACATGTGAATTCACATTTTGGGAAAAAGGAACATGTGAATTCACATTTTTGGAAAAAGGAAAATGTGAATTCACACTCCGGGAGAAAAGTGGCCCCCATTTCAAATCTGTCTTGGGGGTCGAGGAGTCATCGTTTGGGAACATACACGATCATCAATCGCACAATCAAGAGACACTTGCACTCCACTTCGCTGCCCCACGCGCAATATGCAAGAACCCCCGCACGCATGAACGATAATGGATGGACGGCGCGTGTGCCCGCGCGGGCAACGCGCGGGCACGAACGACTGGCCCTCAATGACCGCCAACATTGGATGCCAATCGTACCCGTTCACATACATGAACGATACATTGAGCATACATGGGCCATTCAGCCCCCATTGAAGACCCCCTGTTGCAAACCCCCTCTTTCACCCTCCAATTGCGGCGGCCAACAACATGGACAACATCAAGGGCTACACGCCGATGCAGTGGGCTTTCGGGTTCTCTCCCACCGAGGACCCAATCTTGGCGCATAACGCAGCTACTGGCAAGTTGAAGTCCGACTTCTTCGAGATCGAGCGGGCACGAGCGGATGCAGAGGCGACTTACCCGAAGGAGAAGGCGTCCAGGAAAATCTCAGAGCTGAAGAACTCAGCCCCACGACCTCGACATGAATATAAACGAGGCGACTGGGTCTGTGTCTGGCGGTCGTACGCTGCGACAGGGAAGCGAAAGCTTTCCGGGCAGGATTTCTTCACGGACGGCTTATTCATCGGACCGGGCAGGGTTTTGTTCTCCGAGCCGGCGGTCCAGACAGGCAACAAGGACGGTGTGATCTGGGTCATCATGGGCAACCGATGCTGGCGCTGCGCAGCTGAGCAACTGCGGCCAGCCACGCAGTCGGAGATCGTCCAGATCAACCTGAAGAAGGACGACATCCTCAACAGTCCGCTCGAGGACGTCTGGAGGCACCTCCAGGACTTTGACGACATCGCCGGGGAGCCCTCCCCAACGGCAGATGGCATGAGGATGCTACCACGTCAACCTCTTGAGGGCATGCCGAGGGTGATCGAGAATCCCGATGTGGCCGTGGAACCCCACGACGTCACGGAGGCAGATGACGACCTGGAGGTCGACGAGGACAACTCAGCACCAGAGCCACCACAGATTAAGCGAACAAGATTGAGAGGCAAGCAACCGACTGTGTCGTGGCCACCTGTACCGACTGAAGCTTTCCAACCGCGTTTTGGGAGATCATCTTCATCAAGAGCCTCAGCTGAAGTTGCTCACGCTGCCCTCTTCAAGGCGGCGAGCGACCATGTGGAAGCCAGCGAGACCGACATCATCAACTTCGTGCAGGATCCGAATAACGAGGCCGAGATGGACCTGATGAAGATTGAGATCGAGACGGACCTTGAGGAGTTCTGCTTCGATGCGAGCGCGTACCTGGAGAAGCAGCTGAACCGAGTGGCCAACAACACGGTCAAGAAGGGTGTGGAGGTTTCGTTTGGCCGCCTGAGCCCCGAGGAGAAGCCACTGTTTCAAGAGGCAATGGCACGGGAGCTGGCGGAACATCTGGAAGTACCGACAGTCCGGGCTGCATCTGCTTACGCTGACTACAATCATGGAAAAGACATTCCAGCGGACAAGCTGATCAAGATGAGGTGGCTACTGACCTGGAAGCCTTTGACACCACCTGAACCACCGGACAAGTCGGACCCACACCCCGTGAGCACACCGGACGGGAAGTTCAAGGCAAAGGCCCGTGTCATTCTGTTGGGCTTCTCACATCCAGACCTTGTCAGTCGCGACAAGTTCGGAGATCGGGTGCTTCCTACGGCGTCACCAACCATTTCAAGAAAAGGGAAGCTGGCACTCCTCCAGATGGCTGCTTTCCACGGCTGGACCTTCGAGCTAGCCGACGCGAAGTCCGCCTTCCTGCAGGCCGGGCACACCGAGGAGTGGAGGAAGCTCTACACGAAGGGCGTGAAGGAGCTCCGGCAGGCCCTGCAGATCAACGAGGAGGAGTCCATGCGAGTCCTGGCAGCGATCTACGGGATCACGAATGCGCCGTGGGTTTTCTGGAAGTATGTGGACCACAAGATCCACGAAGCAGGAGGCAAGAGCGTCCTCATCGAGCCATGCATCTGGATCATTCAGGACCAGGACGGCACCGTGTGCGGGGTCATCGGCTCGCACGTGGACGACTTTGGCATCGCAGGCGACAGCGACAACAAGTTCTACCTCGACATGAAGAACATGCTGAAGGAGATGCTGCGGTGGTCTCCATGGCGAAGCACGCCGTGCATGTGGGCAGGCATGTGGATCACTCAGGAGCCGTCGGGCAAGATCCATGCCAGCCAGGAGGAGTTCTGTCACCAGCTCCTCGAGATCAGGGTTGAGTCCGGCAAGTATCTCTCGAAGGATGACAAGCTCAAGCCGGAGGACGTCACCCAGTTCAGGGCAGGCCTGATGAAATGCCAATGGAGAGCGACACAGACAGCACCACAGTTCTCATGTCGGGTGTCACTGTTGGCTCAGCGGGTGAACGAGGCGACGTTCGGGGACCTGAAAGACACGAACGCCCTCATACGCGATGTGAAGCGGACCGCTCGTGACTCACTGGTGTTCCACAACTTCAATAGCAACTGTGGCGGCAAGCTGAAGTGGGACGACCTCGTGATAGTGACTTGGGTCGACGCAAGCAGGCTACTACAACGAGGAGGCTACATCGTGGCGTTCACCACGGCCGAGATTCTCAAGCAGAAGGAATGTGCAGTATCGATCGCCTACTGGAGATCGTACAAGCTCAAGCGCACCGGCATCGGCACCAACGGCTGCGAGGGCCAGGCCCTGTACGACGGCGAGAACGCCGCGTACCTGATGCGCATGCTGTGGTCAGTCATGCATGGAGTTCCAGTCACCGCGCACACTCAGGAGGAGGTGGCGCAATCCATGACCTCGGTGCTGGTGATCGACAGCCGAGGAGTTTATGACTCAGTTCACAACAAGGAGAGCTTCGGCATAGGCCTGAGCGACGCGAGGACCGGCGTGGAGGTTTTGCATGTGAAGGCGAACTGCGGGCCCGAGAAGAACCAGCACCTGGTTTAGGTAATTACCCTCGGACCTCAACCTCACCGACGGCCTCACGAAGGACAGTCCCGAGGCAAGGAAGCCTCTGGCTCTGTGGCTTGCACGGCGTACCTGGATCATCAGGTACGATGAGGATTTCATGTCAGCCAGGAAACGACAGCGAGCCAACAAACTCGCTCAGGACAAGCCGCAGGCTCCTACGGACGCTGAAGCCGAGGCCGCCGACGCTTTAGCTTTTCTCGACCTATCTTGAGGATAGGGTCGGGCTTTCTCTCATCATTCCTTTTCATATTTGTACTGTGCAGGGCCCCTCTTTTGATCCAGTTCGGTCGGAACGGTTGAGAAGGATTTTAGGCTCATGTCGAGCCGAGGCGACTCGAGCGAAGTTTTGAGTCAACCTCTCCTTCCTCACTCTCTCTCTTGCCGCCGCCTCCGCGGCTGTATGGGATCGAGGAGGGGGCCCCCTCTTTTGTGCAGAGAGCGCGGCAGACACGCTCGCCGGCACGGGCCGGCGCCAGATGCTCGACGGACGAGCGCAGCACATCACATCGTGCACAATACATCGTCGACGGTAATCACGACAGTTATCATGGCGGGGGCCATGATATCTCCCCAGATTTCATGGCGCCGCTTCTTGTTTCAATACGTTCCCTGGCCCCCCCGCTGGGCCGCGCACATGCCGCCGGCCATGATTTGCACCCCCCCCTCTTGGACACCCCCCTCTTGGCCGCTCCCGATGTCAAGGAGGAGGTGAGGGGATCGACTTCACTACGGCGTTTCCTTTTTCTGTTCGTCTTTACGCTCCCGTGGGACGGACGACGACAACGAAGACGACGACAGCGTCTCACACGCGCTGAAGGGTCGGCGAATTCGGCGCCAGATGAGCGGCTCGCTTATTTCCGCCTCTGAGAGGAGGAGCTTCGAACGCTGATGTTTACAGTAGGCTCGCGTCGTGCCGACTCGGTGCCAACGCGGCAGCGACCCCGACGCGCGCGTTCAAGGTTGAACGCCGTCAGTGGTCTAGAATCTGCCAAAATGGAACGATCTGGCGTTCGGGAAGCCGCCGAGCGTTCAGGGTCAAAGTCCACGTGGCGTCAGGAACCAAAGCGCAGGTCGTCACGACACGAACTTGCCTAATGGAGTAGGATGTTTTCAGCGTGTTCGGCCTCTTCTAGTCGGACCCCTCCTCCGTTGCTACATTTGAGACAGAGCCGCATCTTATACTTCCGTCGTCATTGTGACTCGGGCGTGCGTGCGGAGCGCTGGAAAGCGTGGATGGTCTTGAAGCGCGCAGGTCGTCACGACCCAACACCTGCCGTACACTCATCAGAAACCGGAAGAAAGCGCGTAAGGTTTCGCGGACTCCTGGTTTCGCTCGAGACAAAAAACCCAGAGTCTGGGCTGTGCCATGGGTGTGTTCTTGGAGCTTGTTGCATCGCAGAACTGCCGTATCTCTGGACCTGGACTGCTGTGTAAGAAAACGCTGGGAGTGAAGGCCACGTTCTTAGCGTCATATTGTCTTACAGTTAACCCGAATAACAAGGATGAAAAACCTTCTCAAGGTTACCCTTGCATCCTTCCCCTTCGGCCCATCCTTGCCCGCTTTCGCAGTCCTCGCCCTGCCCGCAAAGTGCCGACATGGCCTTCCAAGGCCCTTGTATCATTATCGTGCAGCCTGACCGTACGGGTTGACCGTAACTCGTCTCGGTGTTTTCATAACTCGTCCCCCAGAAGACTTGTCGACCCATTCGCTGGGACCAGTTGTTCATCCCGAGTCGTTGTTCGACGGTCCCAAGGCACGGCGGGGGCCCCCAAGTCCTCCGTTGTCATTCTTGTCCATGACCCCAGGAGATCTGGGTTCTTAGCGTAAGATCTTCGTACATATGAGCAGGGGTGCACGTAGGACTCGGCGGCAACTCATGGGGACCTCCTATACCATCTTGTCGGCTCTTGCGAATCGACGCTAGTCGAAGCCGAATCGGCGCTCATCGACGCTAAACGGCTCTAAATCGGCTCTATCTCATCTACTCCCAGACGCTAACCGACGTGAGAGACGGAATTCATAAGGCAGATCAGGCTCCCATGACCTGCTACCGAAGTAGGATTTGCCCTTGCTCGGGAATTGGGACGTATAGATTGCCAGTGGCGGGCTGTTTCTCATTTCCAGGACTTTTTGAGTGTTGGGGACGACGTCGGGGCGGTGTGGTGTATACTTGTTGTTTCATTTCCCCAGGGAAACAACGACAAAATGTACACACCAGGGCCCCATACACACCAGGATCTGCTTTCTTGTGAGAGATTCAGCGCAGGGCCGGAAAAAGCGTTGGTGCATAGAGTTCGGTTCCCTACTTGCCTCCGAGAGGAGGAGCGGCGGGCCTTCCTGCTGCGGCTGGCCCGGAGGGTGCCGTGCGCCGGCGAGGTGCAGCGCCTCAACGAGGAGTACCTCGCGGAGCACGGCGTGCTGGGCGCGCTCCCGGCCCGCGGCGGCAACGCGAAGGGCCCAGACCCCCATCGAGTTGTGAAGCAATCACGATCCACGGGAAGTTGTTCGCTGTTCTCGGCTTCCGGGGGCCCCTGCCGGGCCTCGGGACCGCCAGGAAACGACTCAGGATAACAGGGCGATCGTTGTCTCGTTCATTGTTTTGCCGATCGGCACGGGCCCTCGCCCCCCCCCTCCCCCCCCCCTGGAGTAGGTCTTGGCTGTTTTTGGTGCCTGTTGCGAGCAGGCGGAGTCTCCCCCATGAGAAGCACGGCTGCAAACAGTCGCATTCGGCAGAGGTCCAGAGCCAGACCTCCCCCCCCCCTCCTCCCCCCCCGGCCGCGGAATGCCGAAGCGCCGAAGGTAAGACAGCGCTCGCGAACTGGCCCCGGGGACTGGGCCGAGACCTCTGCAGGGTCGACGTGATGACAAAAGTCGGGGGCGGCAAAGAGGGGGGTGATGACTAGGGGGGTGGATATCATGGCGGGGGTCATGATATTTCCCAGATTTCATGGCGCCTCTTCTTATTTCATTACGTCCCTGGCCCCCCCGCTGGGCCGCGCACATGCCGCCGGTCATGATTTGCACCCCCCCCTCTTGGACACCCCCCTCTTAGCCGCTCCCGAAAAAATCGTGACGTCGGGGGTCTTTGGCGGGTGGGGGGGAGGATCGCCTCGGGGGCGGCGCTGCAGACCCAGCGAGGTCCGACGCTCCAAAGCATGCGGCGCGGGCAGGTTTCTTTTTTGTTGCCGTGTGGCGCCTCTGGGGGCCCTCGCCGGGCCTCGGGAGCGTCAGAAATCGGGAGGGGACAATTACGCTACCGAGGAACCCCACATACCTATTTTATTTCCCATGTGTACCATCGGTGCCTCTGCTGCTGCTCCTCCTTCTCCTCCTCGGTGTCGTCCTCCTGCTGCTGCTTCTGCTGCTGCTGCTGCTTCTGCTTCTGCTGCTGCGTCTGCTGCTGCAGCTGCTGCTGCTGCTGCCGCTGCTGCTGCCCCACCTCCCCGTCCTCCTCCTCCTCCTCCTCCTCCTCCTCCTCCTCCTCCTCCTCCTCCTCCTCTACCTCCTCCTACCTCCCAGCGCACCCCCTGTGGCGTCGAGGAAATGCCACGCCTGCCACGCCCTGGGAGCCTGCAACGCATAGGGCCCCCACCCCCAGCGCACCCCCTGTGGCGTCGAGGAAATGCCACGCCTGCCACGCCCTGGGAGCCTGCAACGCATAGGGCCCCCACCCCCAGCGCACCCCCTGTGGCGGCGAGGAAATGCCACGCCTGCCACGCCCTGGGAGCCTGCAGCGCATAGGGCCCCCACCCCCAGCGCACCCCCTGCGGCGTCGAGGAAATGCCTCCTGCCACGCCCTGGGAGCCTGCAGCGCATGGGCCCCCACCCCCAGCGCACCCCCTGTGGCGTCGAGGAAATGCCACGCCTGCCAAGCCCTGGAAGCCTGCAACGCATAGGGCCCCCACCCCCAGCGCACCCCCATGTGGCGCCCAGGAAATGCCACGCCTGCCACGCCCTGGGGGCCTGCAGCGCATAGGGCCCCCACCCCAAGCGCACCCCCTTGTGGCGTCGTAGGAATGCCCTGTGTGCTATGCTGTGCTGTGCTGCTGTGCGGTGAGCTGTGCAATGCTGTGCCGTGCTGTGCTGTGCTGTGCTGTGCTGAGCTGAGCTGAGCTGAGCTGTGCTCAGCTGTGCCGTGCTTAGCTGAGCTGAGCTGAGCTATGCTGAGCAGTGCTGTGAGGAGGAGGGGAAGAGTGAGGTGTGAGAGAGAGAGAGAGAGAGAGAGAGACGGAGAGGGAGGTGTGCGGGTGAGACGCGGGTGCGGCGCGGCAGGGAAGAAAACCAGAACCCCACGAAGCATGTGGGGAAAAACACACAGACACAATTAAGCGTCGATCCCCAAGCAAGTCTGGGAAACTATGGGAAGTGGTGGGGAAGACAACCGGAAAACATAGGAAAATAGGGGGATCTTTTTATTCGTGTGTATTTCTTTGTGTGTCCCAGGGCCCCTACAAGAAACCGATTCGGGGCGGAAGGCCGGCCCTGCCGGGAAGTGGGCCTCGCCGCCGGGGCCCACGCGTCGAAGAAGTGGTTGCAGCCGGGTGTCTACAGGGGGGTATGGGCGCTTCCAAGCTGGAGGTCTTCGGGCGTCTTCGTCGGTTCTCGGCGGCGTTCGAGCCGCGGGGGGGTCTCCAGCAGCTGCGCCTCGCCGAGCGCGCTCTGCCCGGATCGCCGCGAACGGCCGTCGGAGGCTCGAGTCCATGACATCCCGTCGTCGCGCCTGCTTTCGAGCCCCGGGGCTTTCACAGATCGACCCGGGTCGAGTATTGCCGCAGGAAGACGGGGTCTGCAGGGCATCCGTCGCGGTTTTCTGAGATGTGACATGGTATAATTTGCTTTCAGTGCCGGGCCAGGGAGCATCAATCGGGGGGGTCAGGCTCGGGGGGGGGGGGGCGGCGACCCCCAATCGCCCATTCGTCGCCGACAGGCGCCTGATAGCTCACCCCGTTCAGTAACGCTGGGCTCTCGCTATCGGTGGCACAGTGCCGTTCTATCGGCGATGACCTGAGGAGGTCTTTAGTTTGATCCACCCCTCATCTCCTGGCGATGAATATAGGACTGGTCCTGAAACCTCTTCTTCGTTCTGCTCCACAATTACACATTATGAATACTATGATCCTCTCTCTCCTGACTCTGTCCAGAGATTGATGTCCCGTTTTCTCCGCTTTTTTCAGACGCAGGATTTCAATTGTTGTTTTTTGTCCCGCGTGTTTGTTTTTCAATCTGGTCGTTTCCGGTTCTTCCAAAATGGTGTTCCAGCTGCAGCGCCTCCCTCATTCAAAATCGCGCTCCCGCTGCAACGTTGGCCTGCTTCCCGCGCATCCGGCTGTTCCAAAAATCATGCTCCCGCAGCAGCACTGGCGTGTTCAGACTTTCCAGGTAAGTGGCACTTTCGGTGTAGTGCTGGCCTCGTTCCAGTGCTTCGGTCCTTCCAAACCGTGCTCCCGTCGCAGCGGTGGCCCCATTCCCGTTGTCGGTTCTGGCCTCGTTCTCGCGAGCTGGTCCTTCGAGAGCGTGCTCCCGCCGCAGCGCTGATCTCGTTTCCGTCGGTCATGGCCTCCGTCGGTCCCATGCCGCGACATGCAATGCGATGCCGTGTTGTGCATCGCTGTGTGATACCATGCGTTGCGTTGTTCTGCTTTGTGACGCAATGCTTCACTACGCAATGCCACGCCACACTATGACATGCTATGCTCTGCTGTGCTCTTCTACGCCATGCTTTTACATCCATCGCGTACCCTCTTGGGATCCATGTCCTGATCGACATCCGACTGTGCGAAGAGATAGGAGATCTACGCCATGGTAAGGGATGAGTGGGAGGGGTGGGGCGTCAGATGTGATGCTAGCGCACCTAGCTTGCCCCTCTCCCCCCTCTCCCCTTCCCTGTCGTCGTCGCTGTTGCGTGGCCGGTGCCGCTGAAAAAGTTCATTAGCTACCTCCTGTTGGTGGGGCCCCAGTCCTTCAACAAGGCCGCCGAACAAAGAATCAGTTGCCCGCAATGGGAGGGGGGGATGTTAAGATTTACCGCGGCTACAATCAACCCTGAGGTCCGACGTAGCGAATAAAAACATCGTCACAAACCACGACCAGAGCCCCAGACCCCCACCTTTCCGGCGAAAACGCGCGGCTCGAGAAAGCTGAGTCGCCAGGGTCTCAGGGTCACGCCTCGGTCCGATTGCAGTTTGGGCGAAAGTCCCCCCCCCCCCGGGCCAGTTCACCCTCCACGTTCCCCCCAAGGCTGAAGTCGGGCCTGTCCCTTTACAGAAGGAACATTCATAGATAGCAAGAAAATAGCCTGGGGACGGTTTGTTGAATATCGCTTGACCAGTTTGGGGGTATTTTTGGGGCTATTGTTTCTGTTTCGTCCAACATCGGCCTGCAGGGGGACGGGCCCGACTTCACCCCAGGCCCGCGGAGGCGCGCCCTGTGGCGCCGCGTGACGCCGCCGCAGGCCGCCCGCAGCCCGGCCGCCCGCAGCGGTCGGAGGTAGGGCTCGAGGCTCGAGAGGCGAAGGCGCTGCCGGGGCGGGCTCCTCGCCCAAACTGCCACCGGACCGAGGTGTGTGTTGTTCCCACCCTGCTTAAAGACCACATCCCAGAAATAACTTCGAGCACCCGGAAAAGTGTCGAAAGAGTGTCGAAACCGTGTCGGGCGAGTGTCTCCCAGACCCGGCACGTGAAAACCTTTGAGTTTCGGTACTTTTCTTGGCGCTCGACATTCTTTCTGGTGGTCAAGGCTAAAGTGGGTTGAAGCTTCATAAACCGAGGTATAACCTTGAGATCCTGGCGACTCAATCTCTTCGGGTCGGGCGCTTTCGTGCCTTTCTGGGCCACGGGACCCTCACGGATCGACCCAGCTCGAAGGGCGGCGCAGAACGGTGGGGTCTGGGGCTCCTGGTCGTGATGTGTTTACGATGTTTATACATGTTTTCGATACGTCGGATCTCATGGTACGACACCATCTTCAAATGCCCTGTGCGTGCGCGGGAAGAAAGCATACGCGAGGAGGGCGAGAGCACGCCCGAAGACGGCCAGGAGGAAGAGGAAGGGGAGCAGATTCACCAGCAAAAAGGCCCCTAACTCTGTGGGAGGGGACCTCAGGGTACATCACCCTCGGGAGCAACGGGAGCACACACCCTGCCAGTGGCTCGAGGCCTCCTATGGACCCAGACACAGTGGCGTCGTAAGAAAAAACAATCTGGGCGGGAGGTTTCTGGCCAGTTTCGGCCTCGGGGGGCCCTCGCCGGACCTCGGGACTGCCAGAAAACGATTCAGGATGAGAAGCTGGTCCCAGGGAACGGGTCGGGATTTCCGCGACCCCGTCCTGAAAAAGTTAGGACGTCGCATGTCTGGGGATGGGATCCGAGCAGATGTGGTCGGAGGATCGCGCCGCGTCGCCGATGCATCGGCGATGCATCGGCGATGAGGCTCGATGTGGGGCCCGAATTCTTCCACGCCGACGTCGCGGATGTATCGCCGACGTCGCCAGTGCATGGCCGATGCATCGCCGATGCATCGGCGATGCATCGCCGATGTATCGGCGATGCGGCGAGATCCTCCGACCCCATCTATCGGACCCCATCTAGGGGGACTCCAGTGGCGGGTGTTCAATCCGGCGACTTTTTGGGGGTCGGGGACGACGTCGGGGTGGTGTGTTGTATGCGTTTTTTTCCCGTTTTCCCGGGGAAGCATCGGAGAATGTGTACACTAGGATCCTGTAGATCTGCTTTCCTGTGCGAGTTTCAATGCGGCGCCGGAAAAAGCCCGGGTGTATAGAGTTCGGCTCACTGGCTCAAACCACAGTCGGACCGAGGTATGATCCCGATAGGTCCTGGGGACTCAATTTTGAGCCGGCGTTTTCGCCCTGTTTCGGGCCACGGGACTTTCACATATCGATCCAGCTCCAAAAAAATGGCGCAGAAAGATGGGGTCTAGGGCTCCGGGCATGATTTTTCACGATGTTACAGTTTTTTCGCTACGTCGGATCTCAGGGAGATCGACGTCGGCTCGGGGAGGGTACCCTAATGTTCGTCGTGTTGGCTGGATGTCCTTGTGCATCCTGGGGAAGGGTGCCCTCGAAGGCTCTTTCGTTTTGGCAGGTGGAGGGTTTCATATTCTTGGAGGATGTTATTATGTCCCAAGTCTGCGTGATTTTCTGCGATGCCGCAGTGTGTCTGCAACGTCAGATCTCAGGGGAGGCGTTCTGAAGTTTTCTGCTTCTGGGGGCCCTCGCCGGGCCCCAGGACTGTGAAACATTCATCTGAGACAAGGAAAAACGAAAAAACGTCCCCAGGAGCTGGTCCAGAGCTCTGGTGACTCTGGAAAAAAAAGGTTCGGAATTCGAGGCTCGGAGGCTTTGTGGTGGTGTTCTTCGCCCCAAAAATACTGGAAGTAAAAACCAACAAGGTTCGCACTTCGAAGTTTCACGCTGCCATTTTTGTACAAAACAGCCGTTCGGAGGTCCAGGGAGCTGGGCCCGCATACGGTCAGCAACGTTCGCTGAGTGCGTCGCGCCGACGTCTGGCCCGCCGCGCTTCGGCTCGACGGCGCGCTGACCCCAGACCCCCGACGCCACGCTGCTTACACCAGGGCTGGCCCCAAAAGATGTTTGGGCGATTTCGTGGGCCGTGTTCGTGCCGGCATCGTTTTGCGCAGGGGTGGATTGAAGACCAAACGAGGGAAAACGAACAAAAAAAAAATCGATCAACACAGCAAGCAGACACAAACAAAAACAAGCACCAAACAAAAAACAATACCAAACAACAAACAACACAACCACATAAACCAAGCAATAACCAACCAAACAGCAACAGCCAAACAAAACAGCAACAACAGACAAACCAAACAACAACCAAACAACAAAACAACAACCAAAAACAAAAGCAAGACAAACAAAAAAACAAGAAGCAACAAACAAAAACAACACAAACAGCGCTGCTGGACGGGCCGCCGCGGCACGGCCGCATCGCCCTCCTCCGGGGCCGCGCATCCCGCGGCGGGGGCCCCGCGGAGGCCGGCGGCCCCCTGCGCGGGGCCGCCCCGGCGTGCCCCGGGGACTGGGGGTCAATGCAAACGGGGGGTCAGCCAGAGCGCCCGATCTTGCAGGATCCTGCCCAGACCTCCTCGGGCAATAAAAAAATCACGACGGGAGGTTTCTCGCTATTTTCGGCCTCCTGGGGGCCCTTACCGGCCCTCGGGACCGTCAAAAAACGATTCAGGATGAAAAACCGGTCCAGGGGAATGTGTCGAGACCTCCAGGGGGCATCGCTCGGACGTGTGCATTTTTCCTTCGGCCAGGACCATCGAGGAGCAGCCTTGATCAGTTGGCGAAGAAAACACGCACGAGACCGATAAAAAACACACGGAATGGACGCCCGAGCGATGGCGAGAGAGCGCCCGATCTTGCAGGATCCTGCAGGGGCAGGGTCGCATTGACCCGGGCTCGGGTGCAGGGTCCTGCCGGATTCTGCAGGGTCCTTCGCATTGATGACCCGGGCCTTGGCGCAGGATCTGGCAGGATCCTGTAGGAGTTTGCAAAGCCTGGCTGACCCGGGTCTGGATTGACCCGGGTCAGGAGATCTCCGACCGCCTCGGGGTGCTCAAGGGAAGGTGGTCAGTGCTCGGGGGCGGTAGCGAGGGGGGTGCTGGTTCGGTGCGTGTGGATGCCATGGCGGTGGCCTCCGCCCTTTCCCTCCCCTCTCCTTTCTTCTCTTGCCTCCTCCTCCTCCTCCTCCTCCTCCTCCTCCTCCTCCTCCTCCTCCTAATGCCCACTACTTGGCTTGTACTCGTTTGTCAGCCTGACTCTATCTTGCCGTCCTACGATGCCTCGCCATCCATAGGGGATGCAATCTGCGACACAGTCGCCACTTTCCAGGGCTGCTGGGGGGGGTCCAGCGGAGTGACGTCCGATTCAGGTCAGAGCAGACCTCGGCCTCTGTGTGCATGGCGCCTCCTCTTATTTCAATGCGTCCCCGGCTCCCCCCTGGGCCGCGCACGTGCCGCGGGCCATAATGTGCGCCCCCCCCTCTCTTGCACGCCCCCGAGATGCAAACGGGGGTCAGTCAAAGCGCCAGATCTTGCAGGATCCTGCAGGATTCTGCAGGGCTGCATTGACCCGGGCTTGCGCGCAGGATCCTGCCCGATTCTGCAGGATCCTGCAAGGCCCGATTGGCTCGGGTTTGGATTGGCCAAGGTCAGTAGGTCCACGAATGCCATGCCGTTCTCCTTCTCTCGTTTCCCACCCCTTCGGCTGATTATGTTGATCGTCGTAGGCACCGACCCGTGAGTCGTGCAGCGTGCGTCCAAGCGAACGCACGTTGCCCCGCAGGACAGGGCAGCAGTCTCTGCGTCGCGGCCCTTGGAGCATTCCAGTCGGGACCAGTCTGGCGGCGCCTTGTCTCGCGATCGCCCAGCGGCGGCGCGGGAGCGCCGACCCGTCGTTACGGCAGGGCGTGCCCGCAGAGATGTTCATACCGCCGGCCCTTTGATGTCCCGACCCATTCCCCGGAACCGGCTTTTTCACCTTGGGTCGTTTCTTGACGGTCCCGAGACCCGGTATGTGCCCCCATAAGCTGAAGGTAACGAAACATTTTCCGTCGTGATTTGTGTGACGACTCGAGGGGGTCTGGGACCACGTCCCAGTCCCCAGTCCTTGGTTTTCAAGTCATGGGAGCCTTGTGTACCCTCGTAATTCCGTCTTTAGAGTGCACCAGCGTCGATCAGCGTCTGGTAATCAATGATTTACCGTCGAAGAGCGTCGATGAGCGTCGATCTACCGTCGACTTAGCGTCGATTAGCGTCGATTCGCAAGAGCCCACACGATGGTAGTATGGGAGGCTCCCATGAGTTGCCACCCAACAGTCCCTGTTCGTCAACCTCCCCAGCCCTCCCCCCGCCCCCTCGCTGAGGTTTTTCTTACATGTTCGTCGGTTTGTGGCGGTTTCCCGGCCTCGGGATGCTTGCCAGCAGCTGCGCCTCGCCGACGGCGTTCCGGGGACGCCCCGATCGTCCCGAACGGCTGCCGGGGACCCGAGATATGACCAAAACGTCAAACCCGGCGGCGAGCGATAGGGGGAACTGAGAAGAAAAGGTTTTCTCAGAAGGCGGCGGGACTTTTCAACAGCCCTCGCGCCTTCTGAGAGGTTTTTTGCGTATAAGAAGGCCCGCCCCTTCTTACTTCCCCTCAGAGCTCGCCGCCGGCCGATGCAGCATAATGCATGCGTGGCGTTGTTGTGCATCCTGACGCAGCCGATCCGCTTCGATTTCGAGTCCGTGCCGATGCAGCCCGATCCGACCAGAGCCCAGGCGTCACGCCTTGTTTGTTGTTATCATGTCGACCCCAGAGGTCTCGACCCATTTCCCAAAAACAGCTTGTCATCCTGAGTCGTGGTTGTGGCGTCCCCGAGGCCCGGTAATCTAGGCCTCCTAGCTGGGGTTGGAGTAAGTAGATGGGGTCGGTGGATCGCGCCGCATCGCCGATGCATCGAGGATGCAACTCTATGTTGAGGCCAGTTTCCTCCACGTCGACGTCGCCAATGCATTGGCGACGTCGCTGGTGCATCGCCGATGCATCGGCGATGCATTGGTGGTACATCGCCGATGCATCGGCGAGGCGGTGCGGGTATCGACCCCATCTGCTCCGACCCCATCTGGGAGTCTTCCAGGGGTCGTGTTCACGCGGCGGCGCCCGGGATGACGATTAGAAAAAACCGGCCGCGGGCTGGAACATTATTTTTTTAATCGTTCTGCTCCAGTCACAAATTTGTGCAGAAATAGCAGAAAACTATTTTTGAATCGTTCTCTCCCATTTTTGAAATTAATCGCCATCCCGCGTTAAGGAACGCCAGAGACCGAAAGTTGGACAACTCTTGCCGCCGCGAGCTCCTCGTGGCTCGAGGGGGCCGGGGCTGGAGCCGCAGCCTGCTCCCGAGGAAAAGCTCTGTGCCCGCCGCCGGCCCCGGCGTGCGACGCCCTGGTGTCTTTCGTGCGGGGTCCCCGGGAAGTCCGGGCCCGCTCCCCGGGGCCGCTTCTTCGGCCCGAGTCGTTGTTGTCTCGGGGGCGGAAAAGAGGGGGGTGATGACTGGGGGGGGTGGATATCATGGCGGGGGCCATGATATTTCCCCAGGTTTCGTGGCGCCCCTTCTCATTTCATTACGTCCCTGGCCCCCCCGCTGGGCCGCGCACATGCCGCCGGTCATGTTTTGCACCCCCCCCCTCTTGGACACCCCCCTCTTGGCCGCTCCCGATCCCCAGGCTTAGCATCGCTCGGACGTGTGCATTTTTCCTTTGGCGAGGACCATCGAGGAGCATCCTTGACCATTTGGCGAAAAAGCCACGCACGAGACCGAAAAAAAACACAGGGAATGGACGTCCAAGCGATGGCGAGATGCGGGGTCCCCAGGAAGTCCGGGCCCGCTCCCCGGGGCCGCTGCTTCAGCCCCCTGACCTTCCAGGAGGGCTAAAAAATAGCACGCGACTTAAAAACCCATCCCAGAGCTGTTCTATGTCGTGGTTTTAGTTTCGTCTTTTAGGATTTTTGGCCTCCCGTGCTAAAAAAAAGCTCTCTGGAAGGTCAGGGCCCGAGTCGTTGCTGTCGCGCGGCGCTCCCGAGGCCCGGCGCGAGGGCCCCCCGAGGCCGAAGTGGGCCGAGGGCCTCCCGCGCCTCTTGAGCTCGCAGCGGCGCGGGCACGCCGGGGGAGGCGGGCTGCGCCTGGGGCTGAGTGGGGCCTGTCCCCTCCTCCTCCTCCTCCTCCTCCTCCTCCTCCTCCTCCCCTCTCCTCCTCCTCCTCCTCCTCCTCCTCCTCCTCCTCCTCCTCCTCCTCCTCCTCCTCCTCCTCCTCCTCCTCCTCCCCCCCCGCCTCCTCCTCCTCCTCCTCCTCCTCCTCCTCCTCCTCCTCCTCCTCCTCCTCCTCCTCCTCCTCCTCCTCCTCCTCCGCAGGAGGAATATCCAAAAGTAGTCACCATTTTGTCTTCTGGACGCTTCGTTTTTGACAATCTTTTTTTGGCTGTTTCGATCCAGGTCCCCCTGTAGGAGGATCGGGCCGGACGAAAGGGGGGGATTGGGGGAAAGGGGGGGGGGTGCTGCATGCAGCTGGTTTCGGCCCCACCGAGGGGCTCATTCCTCGATACACAGCCGCCTCCGGCGCCGGGAGGCGCCGGGAAGATCAGCTACGCGAGCTGAGGTGAATCAGCTATCCCCCCCTTCTCACGACACCAGGCACGATCAGGCGTCCGGGACTTGGCAGATTTCGAGGCGCGCCTGGGATCCAGCGCGCCTGTGCGCAATGCATTGCGCCCGAAGGACCTGCACAGGCAAGCTGGAAAACATGGAAGCTGCAATGATTGTAAAGGTGCAGGTGGTCATGGCTGGAACAATTGTCCAGGGCTGGAATGACCCGAGAGGACAGGCCCGGCTTGCGCCTGGGCTCCCCCCCCCTGCGCAGGCGGGCCCCCTTTCACCCGACCTTGCACGGGGCTCGCGTCTGCGGGACACCCAGCCAGCAGCTCGTCAGGGCCCGCACTCTGCGCGGCAAGGCTCTGGCGGGAGAAGCGGGCAGGACGTCGAGGACCATCCAGTTCGCGCTTCAGGGCGGCAAGGCGTGGAGGCAGGACCCCGAGAGGACAGGCCCGACTTGCGCCTGGGCTCCCCCCCCCTCCTTGCGCAGGCGGGCCGAGGCATGCGCGCGGCGCGCGGGCGCCGCCGCCGCAGCCGCGCCCGGGGCGCGGCGCCTGCTCGGGCGCCGCGCGCCGCGCGGGCCGCGGCGAAGCGCCTGCGCGCCGGCAGCGGAAAGGGCGGCTCGGCGGCTCAGGACGGGGGCCTTGCATCCTCCTCCCCTCCTCCTCTTCCCTCCTCCTCCTCCTCCTCCTCTTCGTCCTCCTCCTCCTCCTCCTCCTCTTCGTCCTCCTCCTCCTCCTCCTCCTCCTCCTCCTCCTCCTCTTCGTCCTCCTCCTCTTCGTCCTCCTCCTCCTCCTCCTCTCCTCTTCGTCCTCCTCCTCCTCTCTCCTCCTCTCCTCCTCCTCCTCCTCCTCCTCCTCCTCCTCCTCCTTCTCCTCCTCCTCCCCCTCCTCCTTCTCCTCCTCCTCCTCCTCCTGCTCCTGCTCCTGCTGCTGCTGCTGCTCCTCCTCCTCCTCCTCCTCCTCCTCCTCCTCCTCCTCCTCCTCCTCCCTCCTCCTCCTCCTCCTCCTCCTCCTCCTCCTCCTCCTCCTCCTCCCCCCCCGCCTCCTCCTCCTCCTCCTCCTCTTCCTGACAGATCCGGCTCAGCCACGCAGAGAGGTGGGTGGGGTGGAGGGGGAAGGGCTTCTCAGAAGCACCCCCACTTCTTAGAAGGCGTGGGCCTTTTCTGCAGATGTAGGGTTGCCGCCGTTTAGGAAGCAGCCTCCTTCTAAGAAGCCCTCCCCCTCCCTCCACCCCCATGTGCTCGTCGCCAACTCGTATCCTGCGAGATCAAGCAGTGGCGAAACGTCCGGGCTCGCCTGTAGTCCTACCAGAGTATGTTATGCGAACTTTCCTGGGTTTGTACGAAATTGTCATAGAACATTTCTGGCTGGGACTGTTTTTGTTTTCACACATCGGTGTATGCTCTGAGAAGATTGTTTTCGTTATACGAAGAATTTTGGGTTCCCAGAGAATTTCGTTGTAGGCCTACAGGAATTCCGGGACGGTCGGTCCCTGCTCAACTTGTATCCTGAGAGATCCGGACGCTCCAGCAAACATTGGAGCTGCGGGTTTTTGGGCAGTTTTCGGCCTCGAGGGGCCCTCGCCGGGCCTCGGGAGCGTGGGACGAACAGCCAGCCCCAGAAGGAAGTGGTCCAGACCTCTTGGGCCCACGCATCGGAAAAAGAGCAGCCCGATGTTCGGGATGGTGCATCTTCTGGAGGATTTGCCTGTCCCCAAAATTGATTCAGCGAGCGAAGAACGGTATAGAATAAACTTTTTCGCTGTCGGGGGCGCCTGTCCCAGGGCGGCTGGAAAGTTTATACCCCTACGGTGCCACCGTAAGGGTATAAACTTTCCAGTCGCCCTGGGAAAGGCGCCCCCGACAGCGAAAAAGTTTATTCTATACCGTTCTTCGCCCGTTAACTCATGTCTCTGCTTGTGCCCGCCGCGGGCCCGATGCGGACTGCACGCGGACTTGGCGTGGACTCGACGCGGATTCAACACGGAGTCGGCACGGATTCGACGAGTCCGGCACGGATTCGGCACGGATCCGACGCGGATAGGGCCGCGACGGGACAGACAAGGTCCCCCGAGGATGATGCAATATCATTGGGATTGCTCCAGAAAAAGGGCTCAGCACGAATATGTGGTCCTTGGGGAAAGGCCCATGGCGGCTTGGGTGAGAATGTGAACTCGTGTGGACGTCGGTGCGCCCCCGTGCCCCAGCGACTGCTTCTTCACAAGGCGCGATGCAACGGCAAGGCGAGGGCTGAGCACACACACGCAAACACACGCGGGCACTCACACACTCGCATACATACACCTACACATGCACATACACATCACATACACATGCACATACACACCTACACATACACACATACAAGCATACACATACACACACATACACACATACACACATACACACATACACACATACACACATACACACATACACACATACACTCATACACACATACACACATACACACATACACACATACACACATACACACATACACACATACACGCATACGCACATACACACATACACATACACATACACATACACACATACACATACACATACACACATACACACATACACACATATACACTCATATACACACATATACACATAAACACACATTCACACAAGCACACACAGGCCCAACCCCTGCAAGCGTGGAGGTGGATTGGATCTAGCCGTGTCAGTGCGCACGGGTGTGTCGCGCAACATAGAGGGTGATCCTCCCCCTCCGCTCCTCGTCCTGCCCCCTCATCCTCGCCTTGCTCCCTCGCCCTCGTCGCGCTCTTCCTCATAATCGTCGCCGCCCTCCTCCCTCCCCTGCGTGCCGGCAGGCGCATCCCTGGAGGTCGTTGGCCCGCCGATCGCAGCTGCGTTTTCCCACTCCTCGTCCTCCTCCTCCTCCTCCTCCTCCTCCTCCTCCTCGTCCTCCTCCTCCTCCTCCTCCTCCTTCTCCTCATCCTCATCCCCCCCCGCCTCCTCTTCCTCCTCCTCCTCCTCCTCGTCCTCCTCCTCATCCTTTTCCTCCTCCTCCTCGTCCTTTCTCCTCCTCCCCCTTCGATGCCTTCGATGCAGCGAGAGGGGGAATGCCAGTGGCCGAACCCTCTCGAGACAAGTGTCATTGGGAAAAACTGCCCTCTACGTGATTACCCCTCGAGCTCGCCGAAGCGCAGAGATGGCGATCGCAGGGGCCAGGACGTTCATTCCCGCGGCCTCCACGAGAAACAATAATGCCTGAGAAACACAACGAGTTGGCAATCAACACATGAAGCCACAAACATGAGCAGGATCTCTTGTGGTCGCGGCCACCACAAGATGCTGCACATCCTCTGAAACAACACGAGTTGATAATGCAGCTTGTGGCCTCCTCCTCCCCCTCCTCCTCCATCTCCTCTTCCTCATCCTCCTTCTCCTCCTCCTCCTCCTCCCCCACTCGCTCTCAGTCCCATCCCTCTTCGCCCCCTTCCCCCGCCCTCTCTCCCCCGAGAGGTGTCCGTGGAGGTTCATGCGGCCTGGTTGGGTACAGCGCTGAACGGTGCAGCATCGGCCTTCACGTCGCAGGATTAGGGTGTCGGGTCTGCCTCGCGATCGTCGTTTTGCTTCTCGCTTGGCTCCCGTGGTGCGAACGGGACGCGCCCGAGGCAGCTGGCCCAGCATCGAACCGCGCAGACGCTGCCGCGAGACAGCCGCAAGAGCCGAGGTGCCCGTGGAGGTGCAGGTCTGCTGCGACGAGGACGGGCCCCTCGTGTCCGCGTGGGACTTCCTGCGCGTACTGCAGAGCGCCCGGGGCTCGGGGTCGGTGAGCGGGGCCTGCCCAGGGGTGCTCTGGAAGCGCTCCAGGGGGGAGGAGGAGGAGGAGGAGGAGGAGGAGGAGGAGGAGGAGGAGGAGGAGGAGGAGGAAGAGGAGGACGAGGACGAGGAGGAGGAGGAGGAGCAATGAGGGGTACAAAGCCCACCAGCACTCATTGTTGTTCACTCTGAACAGGATTCGCTGTCGGCGTCGCGGCGGCTCGTGTTCGTTTGAGACAACAGCCCCCCTGGCCAACAGAGGCCGCTGTCGACTTTGGGCAACAAGTTGCTGTTGGGTAGTGCACCGATGTTTTCCGAACCTATTCGGGGCGTTCAAAACATATCTCCGACGACATTGTATTTTGTATCTTTCCGTGCGGCCACTTGCCCTGGCCTTGGGACTATCAAAGACTTGATGCGGAATCATTCCTTTCTATTCCGAATGAAATGCTGAGCCGCGGGGAAGGGGTCAGGACCTCTGGTCGGACGGCCTAGAATCAAGATTAAATCCATCCCCGACCGTTCCAGAACGCTCTCAGATCCTCCAGGCCCGCCGTTTTCCAGAGAGTTCCAATGTGTATAGGTCCGAGTTTGTCTCGATGCTGCATTCGTCTTTCTTGGGGATGGGCAGCGAAGCAACTGCACATCGTCGGATGTCTGGGTCTGACGTGTTCGGCTTGGCAGCGCGCGCACAGAGCCTGACGCAAGAACACCACACACCCATACCCACACGAGGATCGGAGGGAGGAGGACTGGCTATGGGTATGGGTGCGGGTTGTCGGACCTCG